AGACCCGCTCGCCTGCCAGAATTTTAAATCAATCCTCAGTAAGACTGACAGCATTAATTAGCCCGATGATCGCCTTCTAATTCCTAGGCCGGGAAGGGTGATATTCTGGGAAATTTTCAGTTTAGGCACAATCTCGCATTTCAGATTAATTTGCAAACTGGAGCGAAATGAGCAGCTTGGCTGCAATTAATTCGCTGGTATATTGCAAATAATTATCAGAGTGAACCTGAGGATTGGCCTCTTATCTGGCGTGGGAAGCTGCAACCAGGCAACTTCCGCTCATCCTCCCCAGAGCCCATCAATCACGCCGGCGTGCGGGGGAGTGTAGCTTCTTCCACTGTGCCTGGCCTCCGATATTGACTCTCTCCGGCTCCGTGGATTATGGATGAGGGAGTTGGAGATTTGGCGAAAATCTCACCGGTGTGTGACACGTTTGAGACACTCTCCGGGCGAAATGGCTAATGCAAGCCGCAGTGTGACTCGGTGTCCATCAAAAATGAAGAAGGCACTCCATTGCCCTCGGACAGCGGGTTCAAGTGGGGAACAGCAGTATCCACTTTTCCCGCTCCGCATATATTCATTATGGATAAATTTATAATGCGCTTCAACCCATGCCGGCAGTACAAAACACTTCCATCGGGCTCCATTTCCATTTCTGCAAATTAATGAAATTGACTGACGTGCTGCCAATTGCCAATATCGGTGGAAATTGATAAATCTGCACACAATGCCATGCTGAAATCTCGGGACCTGCCCAAAAATGTGGGAGTTTGCTCGGGTGTGTGTGTGCCATTTCTCCACACATCCACTCCTGGTCAGATTTCACAGCGCGAGAGATTGAAGATGAGGAAGACAAAGAATGCTAGAAACCCGCTAAACTGCAAATCCCATCATCATGCCTCGCAACTCTGGATTTCGAGGGTGGAATGGTGGAAAATGTGAAGAGATAAAAATAAATTTTCAATATATGGCATAAATTTGCCACCTCCACCTTCTGATAATATTGATAAGCATGGCAAATACTCCGGGGGCTTTCATATGTGAACATTATTTCGCCATTCGATGCTCTTATGATTTATTTTATTACATTATTTCCCAGATTGACATGCCAATGAAAATGGTGCTAATTTTCACGCCAAAAGTGGATTTCCGTGTACAACGCACCGAATTCCTCAGAAATATCAGACAGTCTTTAGGGAAATTGGCCTCAAACCTTGACGACTTCTTCCTGTGCAACTATGCAAATGAGTCTCAGCTGCTCAAGACGTTGATAAATGATAAAATGCAAACAGTTTTCTCTGACCTCCTCGAATGAAGGGCAGTTGCACTTCTTGTTTGAGTGACTTTTCCCCAACTTTCGTCTTGGGCAGGACCTTAACTTTGCCAAATTGAAATATTCCATGTGGGATTTGATTCATCACAGAAACACAGGCCTTGAGCTATGAAGAGTGCCAAAAAAAAAGTCAGAGATTGTGGACATTTTGGCCCACACAGAAAAGGCCGAGAGCACACCCACAAGGATTTATCCTGACTAAGTTGCAGTGGCCAGCAAAATACACTCTGGCATTTGGGCTCATGGCGAATTCGTGTGCAGGATTATTTTCCAACAAATCACCCAAATCACCCTTAATCCACTCAACACACTGCGCTCGCAGCGGTGGAATATATGGAATTTTAGTTAATTTACACAAGTTCGCGGTTGATTGAATAGCGACTGGGCTTTTTGATGTGCAAAACTGGGTTAAATTAGTTTTTTTTGCGCTCCATCTATTTCCAACACGAAGGGGAGAAATATCTCCCATTGTGAAGCACTTCAATCAATGGAGCGCCTCTTTTGATGTTACCACAAAAGTACCCCGCATTTTTCTCTTCTTTCCCGCTCATGTATAGGGAAATTCCTGCTTCTCCAAATGGCGTTGCGGAAAAAGAATTGCGTTGGTGCGTCTTAAACAGAGCTTTTATGGCGTTGTTTTATTCTGTCATTTGGTGATTGTTTGAAACTCCAAGAAAAAAATCATTTAGAAAGATAGAATTATTGTGGAATTGCTAGATTGTTTAAGCGCCTTGAATTCTGAATACATTCCTGGCAATAAGAAGGATTAAAATTCTCAAATTCTTATATCAAAGTTGAATTTAGCACACAACATTCGCAAGCCACAAATAGGAATGGTTAGAAATTAAACAGACACAATCACTGACTGTGCTTAAAATTTATCTATAAATATTAAGCAATTGAAATATTATAATGAAGTGTCGTTAAAAAACTTATTATTAGAAAATTAGGTAAATTTACCGGTGCTTCAACTGTTAATTTAGCAACCATTAAATGAATTAAGCCCACAAGCATATTTCAATGAATTGAGGGCGAGCTTTCCACCCAAGAATTCCTCTCTTTCGCCTTCTTTTTCTTCTTTTGCGTCCAACAATGGGCCACCCTTTCTGCATTTGCATAACTGGGTTCTTTGTCGCGTGGGAAAAAAGCTGTCCCTCCGTGAAAAATGAGCTTCCCGGTGAGTCTATTGGCACATTTTCCTCCTGGCGGGTTAATTAATTTCCACACTCCGTGGGTGGGCATTTTATTGCGCGCCGAAATACTCACGGGGATTTCTGCTGGCGAGAGCAACAGCGGCTCTCAGTGGGAAAATCCCACCCGGAAGTGGATTCGCGAGGGCCACGTGGGGCTGATCATTGGGCAAAGGAGGCGGCAACGCGCCGGACGACGGCAGCCGCCGTGCGCGCTCTCTCTCGCTCTGGCGCCCCTTGTGGAGCCGCTGCGGATCCGGTGGTCTGGGCAAGGCGAGCTTGTGAGCATGTGTGCGAGTGGGTGTTGGGTGGCTTCGAAATTCGGCGACGGTGCACTGCACAATGCTCTCGGAGAGACGGAGTTTGTTTTGCCAACAAAGTGATTATGGGGTTGCAGCATCCACCTGACTTTCGGCAGTCTCTCTTATCAGTTCGACCTGAACGGATCGGTGGCTGGGAGATAAGTCCCGAGCTGGTGCTCCAAAGTCCTTCCCTTCTGCCATCGCAAGCACTCTCTTGCCTGTCGCAATCGTGTGGCAATTTTGCCCGGCCTTTTCCTCTACTTTTCCCAACATTGAAACAGTGCGCCTTTATTGTATTTGCCCAGTGAACACCGCGGGTCAAGGATGAAAGGTGAGAAGAGAGGAGATTCAATAGCCCGAGGGTGGCTGAAAAATCCTCCCCATCGAGTGTAAATACAGTTGTGAATTTGGGGGCTTCTATATCGTCTTTCGGCCGAGAGATGATGTAATTGAAAACCTGGGAGAATGTTGAGTCTGTAGCATTTAATTCCTCAGAATCCCACCCGCCTCGAACCACAAGTCCGGCTCACCTGCAATTTATTCAAAGCAGCTTCCGCCCCCCGGGAAAGGCATCCAGTTACCAATTTCACCCCCAGAGATTCTCTCCACTCCTTGTGATGTATATCATTTTGATTGTTGCTCAGAAAGCCGTGTTTTAATTCACTCATGAGGCTTTCGAGTAATAATTAAACACAGATACATCGCACACCATCACGGAGAGCGCCCAAGTGAGGCCGCCCACCGACACCCCCGCAGCAAGTGAGCAGAGACGAAGCAGAGAGTGAGAATTAATTGAAAAATTAAATGGAAAATCACCGCATTCATTTCTTATATTTGCAGAGATTCGCGCCCATTGAAATTGAATTTCATTCTTCTCCTCTTTTCCGGTTGAAATGTGGCGTTTCTCCACCACGACACAACTCCTCGGTAAGTCTCTCAAGACAGCAATCATCCGGGGTTAAAGTATCATCCCACAAGAGCCTCACTTTCTCGCCGACAGTCTGAGCCAGAGTGGCGAATGCAAATCCCAACGAGGTCCGAGGGAAAAAGTGGCGACATAAAACCATTTAAAGTTTCACCCGAAATTGTTGTTTGCAATTAATGAAATGCGAGGATTTGCACAATGTTAACCCCGCCAAACTGAGAATGATGCCATTATTATCCGCAAAACTTCAGCTCTGCTCGGCTTATGCTGTCCACCCCCGCCCTCCAGCCCCCTCCAAAAATCACGGCGCCGCAAATTGATACCAGAGAGTCTACAGAGCCCAGCAGACGGTCGCGAACGCTGACTTTATGGCGCTCTTTTTGTGTACACACTCAGCGCATAAAAAACACGAAATATGCAGGAAAATTAACTCAGAGCTTGTTTAAGGTAATTGATTTAAAAACTGCCCGAAAAATGGACTTGGCAGAAATTAATGAGTCATAATGGAAACAATGTGCGAACAAAGGGTTTTTTTTAATACACACTTTTATACTTTATTTATTTATAATATTTTGCACTCCTGTATGAATTAAATTTTGATCAAAAAGGTTGGTAGAAATTTGAATACTTCCAATGTGAAGAGATTAATTGATTCGCACAAATTAAAGTGAAATTTTTACGATTATTATTATAGAATTGAAGCGTTTCGTTGTGATGTGTTTAATTTATTTAGTGTTGGAATTTTTGCAGCAATTTAAAGAAGGGCCTGAGTGAATTCATGTTATTCATTGGAATTAGAAGCAAGGTTAGATCTCAACAAGCACTCATGCTATGTAATATCACAAGTGTGTCTGAGAGGATAAATGCAGTTTAATATTGAATTGAAATTTTTGCTTTGCTAATAAACACTGATTAAAGAAAAATAATTTATGTGTAATCATTGTTTCAAAGTGAGATTACATCGTTTATTAATTTAGATTGAAATTTTACCCCCAAAATTGCGTTGTATACAGTTAGAATGCAAATGTCTAATTCTTTTTGATCGACAATAGTTTTGAGAATATAAACCTAGCAGAAGAATTTTATGGCCACGACTTCATTTGAATTCCGTAATTGTCTGTATTCAGCGCAATTCTCATTCTTGTGACTTACGTTTTTCTTTTTCCATGAATATGTACATAGGAGTAGTAGAGAAAAACAATAAAAATAAACTCTTAATTAAAAAAGAGAGGAATTGAAACAGCGGAAAATTACTGTAATTTCATTTCTTTTTATTTATGCTTACAAACTAACTATTTATTAAATTAACTACACAGAAATCATTTCATCTCTGCATTCTTCGTTTCTAAGAAAATGTTTGTGGAAAAATACCTATAATTTCATCATCTAGAAAACTCCTTTAATGAAAAACTTAAATTGTGAATCCACTGAAGAAATAAACAAATTGACCATGCTTGTGGAATTTTGTGCGCCACTGTGAACCACTTGAAGTGTGTGTGCAACGAAGATTTGCGGCAAATTATAAGTTTCGTAACTCTTTACAGGTAATTATTAATTAAAATCAAACTATGTGGAACTCTGTGTGTGTGAGAGAAATATCAGCGAATGGGTTTTCCTAACTTAGCGCACTCTGTAGCCAAAAAGTAAACGAGAAAGAATTCCTCTTAATCTAAGTTTATGACCCCATTATCCGATACCATGGCATTTCCACTCAACGGGTTGCTCTGCCCATAATTCTGACGATTCTGCATCTGCCAAGAGGAAAAACATGCTTTTCTTAGTCCCTCTGCGGGAGAATCAAGTGAATTCGTACTCACCTGATTGTAGTTTACATGACTGTAAGGATTTATCAGCATGTTACTAGAAGATCCGCCTGTGAATTGGGAATTGTGACCCTGATAGATGTTCGGCGTTGTCGCTGTTGACATCTCAATCAGCTCCTGTTGCAGGACAATCAACGCATTGTATGTCTGAAATGCACATACCCAAAACGATATAGAAACAATTTTGCAATAATTCTGGCGGGAATCACTCACCGTCATGTCCCCAATCGACACTTCCTGGTACATTTGCCGCACGAGCACTGGAATGTAGTTCTTAATCGCCATCTCATCGAACTCCGGATGGTCTTGGCGCGCCTTCATGTCCATCAGTCGCAGGAAAATATCTCCACGGAAGCCAAAATAGTTGTTGGTCGTCACATGTCCCGCCATGGCGGCTCTGCCGATGTTGCCCACATTGTAACTGCCTCCCATTGACATGTTCACATTCACCATTCCGTAGTTTAACACCGGAACTCGCTTCTTTTCAGATTCATACTCCTCCCATGCCGCGCGCCGCTCCTCCTCGTTCAGTGTCTCCTCCTCTTTGTTCTCCAACAGTGAGTCGTGCTCGTGATACTTGTAAATCACATCCTCATACTTGGTCAGCATGTCGGCAAAGAGGCGATCTTTGGGCAATCTTGGCGTCTCTCTCGGGTCTTCTGGTTCCAAATCGTAATTGTAGAGCAACATGAGATCGTGTTCCCTGTAGTGCCGATCAATCTGCTGCTCATCAATCACTCGCTTCGAGATTGCCTGCTTCGTCACTTGCCTCTCGTAGATCTTCTCTTCCATTGTGCCCAGCGCCAGGAAGCGATAAATGTAACATGGCTTCACCTGTCCAAAACGATACACACGAAAGATACTCTGCACATCATGTGACGGATTCCACGAGGCATCGAAAATCACCACGCGGTTAGCCGCCACGAGATTCACACCCAAACCACCGGCCTTTGTAGAGATCAAGAACAGTCTGGCACGATGATTATCCACCTGATTGAATGCTTTGATAGCCACGTTCCTGTGTTCAATCGCTGTCGATCCATCGAGACGAAAATAGTCCAAGCCCAGAGACCAGGAGCCCGCAAATCCCGCCAGCAGAGGATTCATCTTCTTCGCCTGTTCATTCTCATCCACCAGCGCCAGGAAGTGCTCAATCACATCCAGAGAGAAGAGACTCTGCGAAAACACCAGCAGCTTGTCTCCAATCGCCTCGCACTCCTCGAGAATCGAGAAAAGCAGCATTAGCTTTCCTGACACTTTCAGATTATCCAGATCAGCTTCCGGCACCATGTCCACCCACCATTCCGTGGGATTTTCCACCTTTTCCTGCTCCAATGTGGCATCGAACAGAGGCTCTATAAGCAAAAATATCCCAATTACTGGTTGACTCTATTAGAAACAATTATATTCTCACCATCCGGAGCTCTGGCATTTCGCGTTACTCTCTTCACTGGCTTGTCTGCGCTCTTCTCTGATCCACTCTCAGAATCACTCGAGGCTGGTGTTGATGATTCATCGTCAATAAAGTCCTTCAAAGATCCCTCAGATTCCTCATCATCTAACAAATCACGCTGTAATCAATCAATCAATTAGTTTCGTCACTCACACTGAAGTTTGAGCGAAACATTCTACCTTCTTCTGCTGAATCACTTCATATCTATCACTGTTGTACCGCAAAACTCGAGGATGAGTCCAAATACGCTGTAAATTCTGATAATCCGCGAAGAGAATTGATGTCCTCTTAGAAGCTCCCTCATCAACACGCTTCGACTTATTCTCCATGTAATATCTATAGAGCTTGATCTGTAGCTCTGTAAGTCTTATAAACACAACATACTCATGTTTTGGCGGCAGAAAAGGCGCCAGAACAGAGTAATCCCGTCTCTGGAAAGAACGAAATATTTCCATAAAACCAACCATTATAATTTGACGAGATTTCTCATTACCTGCACACATCCATCGAGCATTTTATGCAACACGTGCGATCGTCTCTTCATCACCTGAATATCCCGATCGGTGGAGTCAATGTACTGCCCGTTTGTGATGGGATTCACAAAGCGATTGCAGTACTCAGTGTACTTCCCCAGAAGATTGGGCTTAACGAACTGCACCATGCAGTAGTATTCTTTGAGATTATTCTGCAGTGGTGTTCCCGTGAGAACAATGCGTCTCAGCGTCCTGATCTTGTTCACCGCCTTGCTAATGGACGTCTTCTCATTCTTCAGCAAGTGTCCCTCATCGCAGATAACCAACTCCGGGCCGGGATTTATCAGTCCCATCTGAATAGCCTCTCTGGCCTTCTTCTTGATGTTGCGATTCTTCTCATTCGACAAGTTCCTGAACAAATCATAGCCAATCACCATCACTCCGCCGCCCGTGTGCCACTGCTTGATCACATTAGCTCGCTCGTTGTTCTGCTTGAACTTGGACAACTCGTATACGTCGATGTCACCCGAATCCGTCACATCTTCCAGCCACTTGCGATACTCATTCACCCAATTCAGGACAGTTGACAGTGGGCAGATGACCAGAACACGCTGGACTCCTGACTCTTCACTGTTTAGCAGAGTGTGTGTCAGCGCGATGACTTGAAGTGTCTTCCCGAGACCCATGCAATGTGCCAGGATGCATCCTGAGCCATCCTCTGAATTTGCCATCTCCAGCGTCTCAAAGCAAGCATTCCACATGAACTTTATCCCATTTCCCTGATGCGGCTTCAGTTTCTTCACCAAATCCGGATGCACAGACAGAATTTCCTTCTTGGACTCCTCGTCGAAATCCAGAACAACCTTTTCCAGCTCCTTCACCTCGTCTTTCTCCTCGTATATCGTGTTGTACTGCGGGGAAGTAAAGAAAATAATTCAGTTCGAATGCTTTGTCTGAAGATTGTGTCTCAGTATTAAGCAAAAGCTAAGTTAAATCATATTGTCTTTGTAGCTGTCTTACCAGCTTCTGACGCTCTTCAATTCTCTTCTTCCGCTCAGACTCTTCCTTGGCCGCCTTCTTAGTTTCATCTTCGAGATCGCGGTCCTTAATCACTTTCCGAATGTTCTTTCGCTTGGTGGCCTTATCACCTTTGTCGTCCTTCTTGTCGTCATCGCTCGAATCACTGTTCTTCGGACGCTTAATTCTCCTCTTCCTTGTTGTTTTCGCCTTGGCACTGAAATCCATCACAGAGACACGCTGTAGCTTCTAAACTAAAGTGCAAATAACACTTTACTCACCCTGATTCGTCCGATGAATTGTTTGAGGAATTTGATTGAGCACGTTTCCTCTTCTTTCGACTCACCACGATCTCACTGTCTGTGCTGTTATCACTGTTCCGCTCCTCATCCGCATTTCCATTCATCTCCCTAGAATCATCCTTTGCTTGTTCATCAGTCAACTGAAAATCTTCATCATCAGACTCTTTCAGTGCCTTCTTTCCTGTATTTTTGCTCGAAGAACTTGGAGCCATTGACTCGTCTTCAGTGTTATCCTGCTTCTTCTCTTTTCTCACAGTCTTGTTGGATTCTCCGGACAGGGAATCATTCGACGAGCTCCTATTTGACTTCTTGTACATGTTTAATGCCTTGTCGGAGGGTTCACAACGTCGAGAGTTGCTTGTGCTCTTTATCACGAGCTTGATGGGCTCTTTAGATGCCTCTGAGAGTTTCTCTATCAGAACTCCGTGGCTATTCCTAATCTCACTGATCTTTGCTCGATGCTTCAGCGTGTTGAGATCTTCAGGCAGGGATTCCAGGTTCACTTTCACACTCTTGGCGTGCTTCACGACTTCTGCTGTTGGATGCTCTTTCACTGGCACACGAATAGGCTCATCATCACTGGAATCCGAGATGACGATGGAGCTCTTCGCTGCTGGGATGTTTGCTGGGCGGTTCTTGAGCTTCGGCTTCGACTTTGGTCGATTGGGGGCGAGAAGCGTGGGATCTTGGAGTTTCTCAAGAGCAACCACGCGAATTTTCGGCTTCTCACTGTCACTGGTACTTTCTTCAGGTGGTTCCTTCTTGACACCTTTCCACTCTCTGCTAATAGATTCAGTGGCGTTGCCGAAGATCTTGTTGAGATTTTCCTGGGTTTCCCGGAGGGTTTTCAGAAGATTCTCCACCTGCTCCTCCGCTGTAGAGTCGTTGTCTTTGGCACAGAGACTGTTTTGACTCTCCTCCAATACACTGCAACTCTCTGTGAGACCTTTCCGGATGCTCTCGATGTGCTGCTTAATGGATTCGCCCAGGGATGAATCGTCCATCTGCGGAGAAACCAGGAGATTGTGTGAAACTTCGCGAGACTGGGAAATCTCGCTGGTTTGACAGAAAACGCCTCGATTGTGTGTTAATGAGCAATGGATGGAAAAAATGAGGTTAGTTTTGTGCCACCACAACAAAAAACACTATTTACCGCTAATTCACAACTAAAACGCTCTTTCTACTTGCACGGGGCAGCGCCCCAAAGCTATATGGGAAACGCAAAAGGCCGACGGGGCGATAAAATCCCGCACACCGGTCGTCTCGATGACATCGAAGGATGTGTGAGAGGGCGGAGGACCCCAAACAGGCGGAAAACAAACGCAAACTAAAAGAAAAGAAAACAAGACAGGAATGAGTGCAGCGGCAGGAGGAGGGCCGCAGAGATCCCAGCACCGGGTAGTACCGCGGAGCGCCCCCAGGGGGCGCTTCAGACCCACCGGAGAGCCCTGCGAAACAATAGAGTGCGGAGAAAATGGAGACGCGATTTTGCAGTGAGACAGTCACCATCCGTGCAACCCCACTTTCCACCCCCTTAAATCAACATTAGGGAAAATTACACTACATAGTTGAATGCGGCTGGGCTACGGCAACAATTTACACTCAGTTTTAAGTGGGTCGGGCATGGAAAACGCGAAATATTCACACAAATCGCGGAGAGAAACACTTTTTGCCGGACTTAGGCGCGCAGTCGCAATGTCACATGTCAAACTGTATCGCTCATTTGACAACACGCTCTCGTGGATCAATTTCGCCATCAGATGCCGCGATGTTCTGCGCGTGTTTCAGTTGTGTTTCATATCCATCGAATTTCCCTCGATTTTTATGAAACAGGAATTTTGCAAAAGTATTCTGTTCTTTAATAAATACCCAACATGCACATGATAAAATAGAATGTTTAAGTTTCAGTTGAATTATGAGGCATGATGTTGATGACTTCCATGCTTGAAGACATGTCGTCGTAGAATCTGCGACTGTGGAAGCTGTAGTCTCCGAAATTCGTCCAAACATTGTCCCAGAAGCGCGGATCTGCCCTGGGATCCAGCGCTTTATTGGAGGGAGGTACCACCGTCTGGTTGTACTTGTTGAGTTCAGCGAGAAGAGAGCTGAGAATATTTGGAAATTTTCTGGCCACATTGGACAGTTCACAAGGATCCTCCTGAACGTTGAAGAGGCAGGGACTCTCAAGAGGCCAGCACTGATTCATGGGATTGACGAGATTTTTCTTACAATCCACACCGCTACTCTTCCTCAAATCTCTGCAAGAAATATAATCGAATTAGAGTTTATAGGCAGTAATTAGGAAGATTCTTACAAAATCTCTTCGTCTGTGGGCAGGAGGTGCATCGCCTGAACAACTTTTCCCGCTGGGGAGGTTTTCAATAGATCGAATGTGTAGTTCATAGGCTCTCTGTCTCCAGCAGGTCCATACCAACCGTCCCACGCACCATTGTAATTCGTCCCTTTAACTACTTTCCAGTCTCCAACGGTTAAGGCAGCGCTTCCCCAAATATCGTCAATATTGTGAAGGATATGAGACCTCACGGACTTGGTGTCCTCGCGAAGCTCCTCCCAGAGACTCACTCCGTCTAGATCCTCTCCCAAATCATCTGTATTTCCGCCGGCAGCGGCGTAAAGAGTAGGAAGCCAGTCAGTGATGTGCATTGTCTGTCGAGCAACTCTGGGACTTTTCTTGATCAAAGGACTCCAGATGAATCCTGCCCCGCGAACTCCGCCCTCCCAGAGAGTGTTCTTCACTCCTCGCAGTGGCCAATTGGACGCCGCGTTGATGTTAAATCCCGCAGCCGGACCTCCGTTGTCTGTGCTGAAGATTATGATGGTGTCCTCCAGCATTCCCTGAGATGCGAGAGCAGCCACAACTTCACCCACAGAGTCATCCAATGAGGACATCATGGCGCCAAATTTCCTCCTGTTGAATTCATCAATGCCTCTGAGCTTGTCAACCTTCTCATCTGGCGCCGGAAGGGCATTATAAGCGTTCCCCGAGTGAACAGCCCCGTGAGCGATGTAGAGGAAGAGTGGAATGGAGCTGTTGTGATTTTTCACAACCCTCACAGATTCCTGACTGATGATATCAGTGAGGTATTTTCCGTGCAGATCATAAGCCACATCCATGCCTCGCCTCATGTCGAAGCCCCAACTCGGCTTCTCGACGGATGTGTGGTCAAAGTAGTCTTGTCGTCCTGACCAGAAGCCGATATGCGAGTCGAAGCCTCGATAGAGAGGCGTGTAGACCTTCTTGTAGTGCCCGAGATGCCATTTGCCCACGATATGGTTCATATATCTGAGGAAGAAATAGTGTCTCAAGATTTGAGGAGGAAATTGAATTTGTGATGAACTCTACCCCAATTCCTTCAGATATTGTGGCAAGAGCTTCTCCGTCAAAGGAAGACCACGAGGTTCTGCAGCATAAAGAACAGTGTGTTGCATTCCTGGAATCGAATAAGAGATTTTGAACTCAATCGTATTAGAAAACTCCAGTTTGCTTTCCTACTCCTAAATATTCTTCCCAATTGGACTTCTTCGCGCTATACCCGAATCCAAGAAGAAGAAGAGATTCGAGTTTGTAAGTTACATTTCCAATTCCCAGCTTTGCAAAATCATGACATCAAAGAAGCTAAATATAATTCCCATAATTGCCTGATTTTGGACTCTTCAATTACCTCAGTAAATACTTTTAAAGAATCTTGCAACGACCTCACTAATTTGCACCTAGTCTTGCAGAAATGACCAAAAGTGTCTGTGGCCATTTATGAATCACGGAAAACTGATGAGTAACACTTTCAATTTCGCTCGTGAGCAAATACAAAACACTTGCGTTTTTTTTCCCACAAAAATCGGCAACTTATGGGTTAATCACAGTCGAGGAACTTTATGGCCACTGCTTTCTTCACTTCCGCGGCTCAGCGCGATACTCACCATTGTGAATGGGGTATTTTCCCGTCATGAGAGCCGCCCTGGAGGGCGTGCAGATGGGAGTGACGTAGTAGCGATCGAGGATGAGGCCAGAGAAGGCGAGAGCATCGAGATTGGGCGTGGGAATCTGGTTGGATCCGTGGAAGCCCACATCATTCCAGCCGAGATCGTCGGCCAGGATGAAGACAATGTGGGGCTTCTTCGCCAATCCCGTGACCAGTAAGGGTGCCGTGAGGCACACAAGTAATCCCACAGCGGGTAGATTCATGGCACAATCACAGATTTCAATTGCTGGGAGTGAAACAAATCAATTTCTTCGAGAAGCAACTTCACATTGAAGCACTAAGGAAGCGAGCGATAAGATTTGCCTACAGCTGCATTTTGGCCTCGAGCGTGTGTTCACTGAACGCGATTCCCGCGACAACTGATACAAGACTTGTGAAGCGAAGAAACGTGAGCGCGAATTTTGCTCGCGTGCCTTTGCAATAAACTTGGTAGACTTTTGTGGAGATTCCGATGGAAGTTCAAAGTCATTGCTGCTCCTCTGCAATTTCACGAATTAACGATTTTCCAATAAAAGAATCTCGGCAGTTGTGACAATCACTGAAAATTCTTACAGTCCAGCAGTCTTCTTCAGTGTCGCGATGATGACGTGATAAGATTTGAGTGTGAATAATCTGCAGTGATCTCAATAGGGAGATTATTGTGTCTGCTAAAGAAGATATTCAATTGACACCCATTGACCATCTTTTGGGGTATTTCTTTTGTACGACATCCATGCTAATTGTTCGTCAATTGATATTCTAATCAAATACTCGCGCTCACACCAAAATTCGCGTGTGAGAAAATGCAAATGAGACGAATAGCGCGTTTTGGCCATTGCGTAAAATTTCACGCAAAGCATAGAGAAATCTGAGAAGAGGTGAAGATCATAGTGGAACGATAGAAATGCAAGATTTGCCACCGATTCCCGTTAATGTCACCCACAAAATCGCAGCCATGGAGCGTGTATTTTCTAGGAAATGGGCAAAGTGTGCAAAAAACACATCCCCAGGTGTCCAAGTGTGCGCTAGGCTGATCTTGAACACACCTGGTGGGTCAAATGCAAATTTTGACGCCTCTTCGCACACTCTTCGGCCGATAGCATCATCGCGCGCAGTGTTTGCCGCCAAAGATGGCAATTTTTGTCACCTACAATGGCACTTATGCACTCTCCAGACTCGTCTCAATTGATCGTCGGCAGATGAGCCGCACAACTTAGCGATGCCGTAACGATTACACAGTGTCACATAATGAGGCACATCGAGACATCTTTAATTGAGACCTCATTCGACACCGCCTCGAGGCAGAACCAGCTGTTCAATTCGCAATCACGAAAACCCTGGCTTTATGGCAAATGTTTTCCTTTGCGAACTATATAGTGAAGAAATTGACACAATTTTGAGATTTTGCCTAGAATTCAGTAAGCCTATGTGAAATATTCCACTGCAAATGCTTGAGCTGTTCATTTTATTACCATTTGTGGCACTTAATCAATTTATTATGTTTCAGCTATTAAAATTTCATATTAATATATACTATTGAAATTGTGATTCAACACATTTATTTTCTCTTTCAGTTTTGGCAAAAAAAGAGTGTCAATCTCAATGAAATTGTTTGAAAACACACTAAAAGTTGTAAAAAGTTATTAAACAAACAATTATGAGTTTATGTAGATTGAGCAAGAAAAAGATTCAATCGGATGACCGACTCTCAAGATCGCAATGAAGTGTCACATGAAGATTTTTTAGAAACGCTTTTTATAAGTAAATTGCTTGAAACAATAAATGAGCAATGAACTTTTATCAATAAATTATAGAATTTTGCATATTAATCAGAAGGGCTTTAAAATTTAAATTTAAAACAATAATTACAGTGTGATATCAAAATAACGTAATTAGTGTTACGCCGAAAAAAGGTCAGAAACTAGAGTATGACACATTTTATGACACCTCTTCACAAATTGACCCAGAAATAGTGTCCATAAGATCCATATCTCGATCTAAAAAAGTATCACAGATGAGATAAACTAAGCGTACTGTGAAATTACATGATAGAGGAGTGAAAAATACACAACAAATAACGTCTATAAGCAAAACAATACAGAGGAAATGAGTGAAAGTGAGACAATACTTACACTGCCTAAGCTTTTGAAAATATTCACCTCTGTGTGAAAATAATTTGATAACACTTGTACTTATGTGGCAAAGAGCGCGTGAGATAAGAAAACATGTGCTTTCTACTCTACACCAAACGTTGATATTGACCCCTTGGAATTGCGTATTTTGCGGTAAAAAACAAGAACTCAAGAAATGGATGAGTGATAAATGCTTAGTGGAAATTAAAGAGCAATAAAAAATGAATAAAATTTACCTTTTTTCTATATCGCACTTTATTAACATCAACAATGAACAACGGCAATTTTCCGCTCAGAGTCGTGCTGAGAGGCGTTTTTCCTCGCCGGAAAAGTCCGTGCTTTTTGTAGAACCACAAGAGACAATGCTCAGTCGCATTGTGGAGTAGTTGAGAGAAATTAACTTAGCAAATAAATTAGCTTCACTAGTAGGGATGCTCGTCTAGAGAATCTCTAAGTCACAGTGCCGTATTTCCGGGAATTTCTTCTGCAATAGCAATTACACCATAGTCAAATGGATAAAAAGGATGGAAAGAAAAGCTACTCACCCTCAGTTTCAGTTCGATCCTGTCTATCTCGCCGCCCATGAGGTCCACAATGTTCTCGCCATGCTTCAGCATGAAGGACTCCACCTCGTCAATGGTCGTGAAGGCCTTCACCTCCTCCATCATCGAATTGAGATCCAGCTTGTCCAGGTAGGATCGCGTGAGTTCCCGGCCGTCAAAGTCCACTTCGGCTTTGTAGCGCACCAGAGAGTTACCCATGTCGATGCCTTTCACATCGTGAATCGCCCTGATCATCACGTCGCTCTCCAGCTCCGCGTTGATTTGGTTGAGATTGTTCTGTCGAATGGATCTGCCCACGAGAGCATTCACGTTCGTGTGGATGATAAACAGAGCCACGCCGCCGAGGATTCCGCCCACCAGGAGCGATCCGACGGCGTCGGGAATCGGCGACTGAAGCAGCGCCGAGAGGCCCATGCAGCTGCCCGCCACAATCACTCCCGCCACGGCCGCCGTGTCTTCCGTCATCACGACATTCACACACGGATCGTGTCCACGTACCACAAACTCCTTAAAGCTCATTCGAGCCGTCTTCGCGGAGTTCCTGATGGCATTTATGGCCACCACAAGTGTCGCTCCTTCGGAAACCAGAGATCCGGCGAGGATTAGGAATGCCATGGAGTAATCGCTGACCATCTCCGGATGCACCAGACCCATTATGCCGTGGTAGAAGGACAGTCCCGCGCCCACACAGAAGATTCCCACGCCTGAGATCAGCGACGAGACATACTTCATGTTAGCATAGCCATAAGGATGGTCGGAATCGGCAATTTGGTTAGACTTGTGAATCCCATAGGCAAGGATCAGTTGGTTGATCGTGTCCGCCAAGGAGTGAATACATTCGGCAAACATACTGTTGGAACCCGTGTAGACCCAGGCGAAGAGTTTGAAGACAAAGTTTGTGGCATTTCTGCAAAAACAAACAGAAAACATTACTTATCTACATTCATTTCAACTCTGATATCGTTGAATCGCGACATTGAATATTTCTAATTAGCCAGAAAAAGTGACATCAATCTTTTTTGCGACTCCACATGTGGTTAAGGAACATATTTCTTATCATTTGCTTATTTTATCACTTGAGAAAATATATAAATTTCCCATAATCACTCTTGCGCGGAGACACAGTGCAAAGATTGTAAATCTAAAGCATGTGAAATGCCAGGAAAGGTACACAATGCGTGCTTTGCTTACATTCCAACTGCAGTCAAGACAACCTTCCCGGAGGTGCCAAACAGACCAGTCTCACTTTCAATCACGCTCGTTCGACTGCCAATCTCTCGCCGGTAGTCGCGAAGTCTCCGCTTCACCGTGAAAACATCTGCCGAAAGATGGAAACTTCAGTGAGCTCACAAAGAGTGGAGGAAAAGCATGAATGACTAACTCTGCTGATGGGTTTTCTTCTCAATCTCCCTCTTCAGGCACTCCCGGAGGAGGTTCTCTCGTGAACCCCACACATCAATCGCCTTCGCTTCGACATCCTTTCGCCAATACACTGTAATTGGCGCCTCCGAGGCATGAGGCGATCGTCTGCGCGTCTTCACAAGCGATTCCAAATCTGTGGGCTTCAGCAGAAAGTCCGACATCGCCCGGCCGGGCGTTATAAAGTTCCGCTCCAGTGAGGAGCGATTGAAATCGACCCGAATTCGTTTCTGCAATAGGCATAAACAATTACTGAGAGAAATCACACCTTCGAGAGTCTTCAGATTTTACCCTCAGTGGCCACGAGGGGTCTTCTGAAGCATTTGCTGGTCCCTGGGAAGCATTAGCCTCTTCCTTGGCTTTCTCAATTGTCACACTCTTGAGTTCCTTCTCATCAAGGGAAGTTGTCACCACCAGTTTTCCACCCTTGGTGTTGATCTCGAGTGTTGATTTTTGCTCTGGTGTCTCCTCGGACTCCTTGGACTTCACCCGGAGGGCATTTCCTGTGGACAGACTGCGGAGATTCGCGGAGATGTGAGGGAATGTGAGTAAAGCTGTGGAGAATTTCCGCAAATATCGTTTGTTTGGCTGAAGAAACCACAAAAAATAATCAATCCGGCGTTTCAGAAGTTCCTATAACTCAAGAGAACATAGAAGAAATACTCACAGTGTCCTTGCTAACGGGATTGAGGAGTATTCTATGAGAAATCCTAATAATTCGTCCAGCATCCCACAATCGGACCATGTTTGGGGATGGGAAATTTGTATCTTTACACCAAAATCACTACAGAATCACAATACTATTGTCACGGTCTTCTGGCAAAGGCTCCACAGAACACCCTGAAATACCTGGCAAACCTGGCCAGTGACCAGAAAAGACAAAAATACATCAAAATTTGAGTTGTCGACATTCAGCTGAGCATTGAGTCCTCTCAAGGCAAGAAAACCTTAGGAAGTCTCAAGCATTTCGTCACCATTGCAGCTGAAGATGAGTAATGTACTTACCTAGATCACCAGACACTGTCTAATCTCTCAAATCATCGTGATAATTGGTCAAAATAAGCAGAATCAATTAATTTCGTGGCTTGTTTTGGGCGACACTGTTTTTTGTCGAGCTGTCAAACAAACTCCGCGACAATTCTGCGCCGAAATGCAGGCAAAACTGTGTCGCTGAGTTTACCGGTTGGTGCGTTTTGGCGGGCTCAACCTTGCACTTCTCATCAAGCTTCTCGCAAACAATGGTGTTCTGGAAATTCAGGAAAATGCCGATTTAATGCAATTGTGGCACATGTAATTATGCGTGGGCCATCAACAATTAATCATGCTCATTGAATGCCTAATCTAAGTGATTTGTCATGCATTTCATGTGCTTGAAAAGTGGGCAGAAGAGCCCTTCGGAATTGGATTTCTTCCTGAAATCTCATTGTTATAGATTCATTTAGATTGACGGCCGCGGAAAAATGAATTTACACATTTCACAGTTCTTTCGCACTATCTGGCAGTGTGATATTCAATTTCCCCACTCGTTGGGTGGTGTGAATGCGACAAAGAGAAGCTCAAGACCTTGATAGCGCTATATTTCCACTGTAAGCAATTTTGGTCATGCACACAAAATGTAATGGAAAATATTCAAAATGCGCTCCATTGAGACAATGCGTGAAATTGAGTCATTGTCAACAAGTCTGTGAAAAATATCTAAAGTCAGGTTCGTCTTCTATCACCTGTAAATCTCTAAAATCGATTGCTCTCGATCGTTGATCGCTGATGAAAGTTCTGAGCAATGCTCGATAACTGAACTTGAAATCGCAGCAATTTGTAAGCATTTTGTCAAACATTCGCGAGAGAGTTTTTCGCGAGAGAGAGAAAAGTCGCGATTGTGTGAGTGCGCGTGATAGGAAAGCTCACCTAAGCCCCAGAGACTCCGCGAAGGCTTGCACTCAGTTGATATTTGCACCTCTACGGAAGCAGTCGCACATTGGCGAAGCAAAAAATACACGCACTCATTGAGTATTTGGAGCACACAAGACGCACAAGTAAATTGTTCTTATTGGCAAATTTAATGTCTGCTCGCGACAGACAAATTGCAAACAATCAGCACGTGAGTGAATTTCGTGAATGGTGGTCAAAATTCGCGTAGAATTTTCGACACTGGACAAACGCACTTTCTCCGCGGCGTGACTTTTTTCAACGGACTCTTCTTGGACTGCGCCAGCAATCATGACAAAGGTGAGTGTCTTTCCCGGATGCCATTCCCCATCGAAGTCCCCTTCAAGTCGCAGCGCAGTTCTTGCCCAGGGAAAAGATGATGATCTTGCTTTCTAATAGCGACGAGTGTCGTCTTTCGCACCTAAAGAATGTCGGAGTCCAGAGAGTGTTATGAAATATTACATTGCTGATATTGGACTCACTTAGGGCGCTATTTGAATTGTCTAGATTCGCCGTCGACGCTCATTTTTTCTCTTCATATTCACATCATGTGTGCTGGGACTCTCCAAACGAAACTGTATACAATATCCAATTTAAATAAATCATTAAGTAAGCGGAGTGTGCAGTAAACTTGAGTAATAGTGGGAAAATTAATTGAAATCTTTGGTCGAGTTATTTTAACTTTCTGTGTGACATTGACCTTTTGCCTCGTGAATTTGGGAGACTTTATGAAATTGTATTACACTCGAGAAATTGCAAGAAAAAGTCAGCAAAGGATCTTTTAAGAAGTCGCGTGGGTTTTATAGACGAATTGAACATTCTGAAGAACATTTCGTTATGTTATAAAAAAAACGTAGTACAAGAAATCTTTACAATTTCAATTTTAATTAAAAGCCGACATGCATAAAAATGTCGAGTTATAAGCGGTAAATTGCCGAAAAAAGTAATCATTTACGTCTCCAGGCTCAGTTTTTCAGTTAAGCCTAATGGAATATAAAAAATTATAAAAATATATAAATTGATGTATAAATTAAGACTCTCGGTGTAATAATAATTAAGTTTAGGTTACTTGCAATAAAATTTTATTCATTCTTACGACCAACTTCGTTTTACACTGGAATACATATAGATATTTATTAAATCCGTAAAAATATAAATATTTGCATTTTGAAAAAGTTTCGTAGAGTGAAAACAAAACTCCTTGTGATTACTTTCTACTTTTCTTAAGCTCTTCCTTACATTTTTCACGATTCCTCACTTCCAGTTCCTCGCTTTCGTGACATTGATTTTCTGTTTGTTAAAACATGTGTTGAATTCCAGACACTTGAGCCATTATTATTGTAGTAAAATTAATAGGATTTATAGACTATTCTTCATTTCAGCAAACCGCGACGACACAAGCTTCCGCTATTTAGTATGTTTATCCGAGAAAGACTCCAAACTTTAATCTTTCCTTATTCAACGTCATGAATTCTAATTGCGTATTTACAGAGTGTGATTACAATTGTCTCTGATTGTCCAAATATACAAGACGATTTATTGTCCCACCTCAGAAGAAATAATCACGGGAAGAAAAATGTGTGATCTTTAATCAAACATCACAGAACACTGTGTGCGAAGAGAGGCGCGAGTGCGGCTCAGCGCGCTCTTTTGTGGGTGGAGGTGAAATGTGAAGCGCTAAGTGATCAATAAGGACTGTGCCAATGAACCAGATAACCATAACAGTTGAGCGAAAAAAAGCGAAAGTGATCCTCAGTGACCGTGAAGATTTCACAGCGCTAAATGTAGGCGATGCTGTGGACCTTCAGCTGCACCCTGTTCTTGGGAAATGCCTCAACTTGAGACAATGCTCGATTAACGATGAGGGTTTGCATAGTCGTTATCATTATGATTAAACACTGCATGAGGAAAGTTATCAGCTATGCTGCATATCTTCAAGTGGGTGCTTTCATTCTTGTCCCGTCAACAACGCGATATCGCAGAGATGCAGTGGGAAACAGAATTCCACGTCGATCACCACATGAAGTGAGATTGATCAACTCTTTATCGGCCACTTAAAAGTCTGTGGGAATGTTTGAGTACATCGGATTCCGCGGCTGCAAATCCATCCTCAAAGCTATAATCGAAACCGACTGATTGATTGCCGATCACGTGAGATTTTTGGCGAGTTGTGGGCAAAAAACACATTCTCTTTAATCCTCGATGAGGTGATCTTATGAATGATCTGCAATCATAGCGGGATTAAATGATATACAGATCGGAAATACAGCATTTTTTCTCAAGGATCAATCGTTTTACAGTATATACTAGACAGTTATTGTATGTGATCGACGATTTTTATGGAGAAAAGACATGCGATCATCGCGATCACTTTTAGGTCAATACAAATTGTCAAAAATCCGCACGCGAAAATATGTATTTTGCTTATCTCTGGGATTTCCCTTGTCGCTCTCATAAAAAGAAGCTAGATGTGTATTTTGCGGTGAGAGTTTAGCCGTCGACACGTTGTCTATGATCATGAGGATTACCATAAAGCCTCTGCGGATGGAATGCCGATGGAATTTGCAAGAAGCACAAGTGAGTTAATGGGAAATATTTACACATTCGCAACGTGCAGAAAGATTGTATGGAGCCGAGATGACCAAAATGAGATGCGTGTCCGAAAACACTCTCCTGGGATGATGGTTTGGGGGCAAAAACTGTGCAGATGGTCAAAGATGAAAACCAGAAATTTCTTGAAAAGGGGAATTGCGATCGAGCATGAAAAAAGATGAAAGTTGTGTAATTAAGAAAACACCACTTAAAGTGCATATTTAACAATTTCTGTTGTTTAATTTGAGATCGAGTAACATTTTTGTTTTGTCTTTCTCTAAAGGGTCATTGCATAATTGCAACGATTAGCCATCTATTGACCATTCAATTATAAGTATTTAACTCTTTCACTGTCCATCCAATGTGATCGAACATGATGGACAGTGCGAAAATCAATCTATTGGGCAATTAATGAGAGAGATCAATGTTCCATATAAAGTCTCGGTGAAGATTAGCAAAAACAACAAACAACCTGTTCCTCTTCGCTGGCAGACATCGAGGCGATCGCGCGACATTCACGTTTCATGCTCACCAGCAAGAGAGTGAAGTTGACATAAATGTGAAATGACTTCGATAAAATAGTCTTGGATGTGTGCTGAAAGAATCGCACATGCATAATAAGTGATCGTGCGCGCCAAGAGATCAATGAATTCCAGTGTGGTGCGATTGATCATCTCGAGAGTAAAATGATATCTTCTTGCAGAACCAGTTTATCAGCACTCTCGCACGATCTCGCGTAGGTGAAAAGAGAAAAACCATCATTCGCGCATTCATATTTTGTGTATGACCTAAAAAATTCGGACAAGCCCCTGGTCATTATATAAGTGAGAGAGATATTCCACTTTTCCCCCCATCGATTGAGGCACTTTTTTGCATAGTCTTTTGCAAAACACACGATCAGTAGCCAATTGAGATACGCGATCGGGCTGAATGATGTCGCGATAGCAGTCTTTAAACCCTCTCCGGACATGAAAAACTAGCACAAGAACACAATGAGTATGATTTGCACATGAAAAGTACCTCTGGGATGTTATGGCAGTGTCTCGGGAAAGAGTATTGGAGAGTATCTGAGAAAATACAGGCACACGCCATGATCAACATAACAATAGTTAATAATTACTTGTGTTGTTAATGTGCTTTTTTTCCTCACAATCGCACTGAATCATTTCGCTTATAACAGTTGCAGAAAAAAGAGTAATGCAAAAGTGAGATGGAACCTTGAGGACTTCACAATAATGATCAAATTCTCCATCGTCTCGCGTGATCATGTGTCCATTCGAGCGCGAAAATGATGGACAAAGGTTTGTTCTTATGCAAAACTGCATCTCATTCGTGGGGATGATCAAAGTGTTTGACGTCACATGTAGGAATTCAAAGCATTAGCATGAAAATGATTGAATTGTGTGAATTGTGACGGCCTCCATCACATCTGACTCATATTTAACTGATAAATTGCCGAATGGTGTGACATGGAGTCATTTCCTAATCCATGCCAATCTGCTATTGTAAGAATTCGCGGTAATCAGGTGTTATTGTATTATGTGGTAATTCAACGCCAACGGGAGATAATTACCTCAGGATTATCGATTGAGTGGCATCAGTAGCTTCGAATATTATGCGATATTCAATATCTTATCAGCTCACTTTATATTGTATGGCGAAAATGATAAGAATGGAACATGCAGGAGAATGACCTGTAGTTTATCAACTGCAATTTTATCCAATATTTCACTGAATTTGTAAATATTCAAGGTTTCTCGTCACCCCTCGATCAACAGTGAGGATATCAATTGTCTTTGCAATCTCATATTCTAATGGAATGTGGAAAATGTTCAATTGACGCGGGAAAAAGTCAATTGAGAAGAATTAGAAGGAGAATTTTTTTACAATCTCGGTGGGGAGAATGTGCAATTCCAGCGAAAAAGCAACGGTGTAGGAGAGGAATTGTGAGGTGAGAGAGCAGATTTCTTGACGTTGAGAGCATCTGCAGCGATTGCGTGCTAAACTTTTTGAGATCACATGAATTGTGGATTATTTCATTGGATAATTGCATACAATTAAAGCGGAACTGTACGGAAATGATCGCTTAGCGGTGGGGATTTTTGCTAAAAATATAACATCATCGGTGATTTTTTGAAGTCTGGTGCCCCTTCAAGAATTGATCGAGACAGAGAGAGCATCTCTGACTGGAGATATAATGGAATTATTTCAAGTACCTCAAATTTCCCAATGATCCTCATCCGTTTTGTATAGGCGACATTGCCCAAGTCATTTTGCCAATTGCAGTGTGTGTTGGGATTACAAAAGATACGCGCACTGTGGGGACAAATTACATAAATACTTGGACATGTGCCACTCGATATCAATTGAAGATCTGACCACTTGTTACTTTATCGGCTGCCTCACACCGGCCCATATCACACTTGATCCGCCAAATTGATAAGGTCCCTCAGCAATTGGACTGCTCTTCTCGCGCCTGGTTAGAAATTTCAGTGTCACTTGGGTGGTCTCCTGAAGCACTCGTCTGCAGATTGTGATCCTCAGTTCTGTTCTGCTTGAAAATCCCCTTCTGACCACGATTTAACGCATTGTGCATTTTAATTCGACATTACAATGGCGGTATAGAAAAATCCCCACTGACGAAGATTTATTTTCCAAAAAACAGTGACTAATTGAGTGATTTTTGCGTGATCTTTGCAGGAAAAGGCACCTTCAGACGCTCCGGCAGAGAGAGCATCATCAGGATTCAATCTGAATGAATTCAATTCCACGTAAGTCGAAATCCCTGAGTTTACGAGCGTGCAATTTGCTGGCATTAGATCAATTGGATGCAGTGTTGACAAACTTGTGATTTTCCACTGAATTTTTCCACTCAACGCAGTTCTTCACACATTTCAAGATTTGCCTTAATTTGATAAGCAGCGCGTGGCCTAATTTTTTCCCATTTCCACCCACTTTACCGGCCGAGGAAATTAATTAGAAATGTCTTGTGAAATCCGCGCGTTAAGCAATGAATGGAATTCTTGCAATGGATTGATAAAATGCGTATAGCAAAATACACGTGAATTTGTTTTCTTTACTTGAGTGTTTCTGCAAGTAATTCCCGATTTATGTATTTGTTTTATCTTCAGGACAATCTTAACGGAAAAACAAAGACTTGAAGATGAGGAGAACTTTAATCCCTTCGAGCATCGCGTTGTGGCGAAGCCCTTTTCGTAAGTGTGAAAATAGTGATGTTATTAACAAGTTTTCTTTCTTAAAAAGCGTATAATCTTATTTCTTTAGGACTGGAGGAGCTCTGGCGCATTTACTTAAAAGCTCCCTTGGCACAGGAATCCTGGCCATGCCCATGGCATTTAAAAATGCTGGTCTTCTTTTCGGTGGAATAGGAACTGTTGTGGTGGGAATTCTCTGCACATACTGCGTCCACATTCTGGTGAGTTTTCATTCAAATCATCTCAAGATCACACCGTGTTTCGTGTCCATGGGAAGATTCTGGGGAATCGACTCAACACACGGCCATGAATATGGACACATGCCTTCGAATTGCTGCCACGAAATAATAATGAGGGATCGCGCACTGCTCTGATGAACGTGTCAAGAATGAGAACAATGATTTCGCGATGAAATGAGCTTCCGTGTTTTCTGCTGACTCTCATTTCCTCCATAAAATCTCCGAAGATCATATGCTAATTTAGGAAATGCATTTTACAGGTGAAGACCTCGCATGAAGTGTGCAGAAAAACTAGAGAACCCTCGCTAGGATTCGCAGAAACTGTGGGCAAGGTGTTCGAAGTTGGACCTCAGCCCCTTCAAAAGTACTCAAATGCTGCCAGGTGAGTTTAGCAAACAAACCACTTAATATTGCGCTCTCAAATTAATTGATGGCCCTTAAAGATTTTGAGGATCGCGAGGGAATAGTTTGATGGCATTTTCCAACAAACAATTCGGCCACTTTATGATTCCTTTATTGGCAATAACCAGCCGAAGAAGTCATTTTCAGAGACAGTCATATAGCAATAAAAAATGCGAGGTGAATTGTATGCTAAAATTGATTAGGGCGGCTGTAAATCATCGGCAGCGCTCTTATCGACGTGGAGTGTGATTGATGATCGCGAAGGGGGTGTTCAGTGACGTGAACGGGGCTCAGAGGAAGCCCCAGAATTGTTGATTTATGGGGATAAGTATTCTTGAGAGAAGTGTGAGGATTTAGTCAACACTTGAAGATTAGTGGAAACAAAACTGATAAGATTAGGCAATTGAAGAGATTCTCACGTGGAAATTCCATCGAAGGTTGAGATTAATTGTCAAAGCCTGAAAGGAAATGGATTAAACTGCCCTTTTTAGAACGATTTGTCGTGTAATTTTCATAAATTTCCGTTCCGTCTAGATGCCTTCTTCCAAGGTTGAGGTCGTGTCTGGCGGCTTTCCTTAGTTCAATTCCCGAGAAATATGTGAAACTTGTCATACAAATTGTGGGCATTTTTTTCATAGTCAATTGCCACAATGTAAATAGCTTTTTGTTTCCTATTTAGCGACACGAACAATCAAAATGAACGACTCAATCTGAACACTGATTTTTATATAGCGAAATGGTCACTTTTTGTAATGCGCTAATCGACCAGAATTTCAGACTTAGTCACAGTAATTTTAAGGGGGCAGGTAATTTAGTTGACTGCGAGTCAATATTCTATGTTGAAGTTCTCCTTCATAAGCTCGAGATTGATTGATACTTACTGACTAATTAATTAGATTTCAGCTGTATAGTTTGCGCCTCGAGATCTCGAAATGCATGCAATCTCTGCTATTTGGCCAATTAAATTGCACACTCTTGCATAGTGATTAGCTGGTAATTTATTCTGATTCTGGTAGTCTTGATGAATTAGCCAAGCAAATAGGCGATTGAGAGAAAATTGGCCAAGATTTGATGGCGGTATCATATTATTGAATTGAATAATTGCCTCTCAGCTGGGAAATTGCGTCTGTAATGACAATCCCTTTGAGGGTGTTCCGCATCAATTCCCCGGCGAATCCACAGTGAATTGGGGACTTGAGGGCGGCAAAAACGACCGGCAAAGACCTCTATGAATGCCGTTCCGATTAGCTGGCGAGTTGGAATGCAATATGACGCCAATCCATTCACTTTTGCAGAATCTTTGTCGACTACGCGCTCATGACGACATACTACAGCGCCGCCTGTGTCTACATCGTCTTCATCGCTACGTCCTTCGCGAAGGTCATCAACTTCGAGCTGGACCTCACCTGGGACGTGCGCATCTATATCGCCCTTGTGGCACTGCCAGTGTGGGTGATGGGACAGATCCGCGAGCTGAAGTACCTCGTGCCCTTCTCAGCCACCGCCAATCTCTTCATTGTCATCACCTTCGGCGTCACTCTCTACTACATGTTCAACGTAGAGCTCACATTCCACGATAAGCCACTCTTCTCCAGCTTCGGGCAGCTGCCACTCTTCTTCAGGTAAGCCACGAGCCTAAAGGCATTCTAAGCTCCGCCCAATTACACGCACCGCCCAGAAAATTTATTCTAGATTCAATTTCGTTAAGCAAAAGCATTTTCAGTCATTCTCATGATTTGATCACATTAAAGATGTGATCTGATTCCGTCTAAGTGGTGATTCTTAATCGATTTTAAAGAACTTGATTATTTTGAAAAGGTCTTTCAATCAATAGAACTTCTCTGAAGACACGAACGTCATAAGAATAGAAATTTCCCTTATTTCTGAGAAGAAGCGACCGTATATTAATAGAATTAATTTTCTCCAAGAATGGTAAGCCTTCAACAAATCTGTTTGCTCTAGAGCCTATAATAATCTTTAGTGTTTACAACTACCTAGAAAATATTGCTTACGTAAAAATTCTAATAATACCTCAAGATAGTTATACAGTTCTCTAAATATAGTTCAATTTACGTAATTTCTGATGAACTTTACTTTTAGATTAATGAATCAACGGGGCTTCTCACGACTTCTGGAGAAGTCTTTATTCCACAATTCAAGCGTTGCCGCTTAATGTTTGCGATAGATCGATATATTTCCCAATAAAGGCATGAACATAATGATAGTTAAGAAATGGTCGCGATCGCCTCAATAATGTTTGCATTAATGAATGGAAAAGTACCGATGCAAAGCGTTTATGCTACTTTTCTCTCGCGCGCGCGATTGACACATTGACCATGACGGTGTTGATTTGAGCAAATTGGATATGCTTTGGCTAATGCCTTCCCTCTTTTGCAGCACTGTGATCTTCGCCATGGAGGGAATCGGTGTTGTCATGCCTGTGGAGAATTCCATGAGCAAACCCCAGCACTTCCTGGGCTGTCCAGGTGTGCTGAACACCGCCATGATAACTGTGATCGTCCTGTACGCCGTGATGGGCTTTTTCGGTTACGTGCGCTTCGGAGACATCGTGGAGGGCAGCATTACGCTGAATCTGCCGCAGGAAGATGCGTGAGTAGCTAAAGAATCCCAACTGAAAATTTAAAAATTTACGATTTTCTTTCTCTGATCTCAATAGCATCGCCCAAACTGCTCAGGTCCTCATCGCTCTGGCCATTCTTTTCACTTTCGGACTGCAATTCTACGTGCCCATGGACATCTTGTGGCGAAAGATTGAGAACCGCATTCCCAAGGAGAAGCACAACATCTCGCAAATCCTCATCCGCACGGGCATCATTCTCATTTGCTGCGCCGTCGCAGCCGCTGTGCCCAATCTAGAGCCCTTCATCAGTCTCGTGGGCGCGCTCTTCTTCTCCACGCTCGGCCTTCTTGTGCCCGCCATCGTGGAGACCGTCTTCCGGTGGCCCCACGACTTGGGCCCCTTGAAGTTCATCTTCTTCAAGAACGTCATCGTGGGACTCTTCGCCCTCTTCGCTCTTGTCGCCGGATCTGTCGTCAGCATTGGCGAGATCATAGAAATCTACCGACACACTGAGGAGGAGCACTAGTCTTTCCCCCCAAACGCCACCACACAATTACAGGACTATAACTTGACGCCGAGACGCGCGTCTCCGTTTTTGTACATATGAGACAAATCTTGTAAATTTTCAGGAGAGAGTAAAATTGTACGTGAAACTTTTATAAAGTGTAGCCGTTTTTTGAAACTACCCTCGTTTTGTATCATTAAGAATTCACTAGAATTTTTATATTGTTGTAATTTAATTTATAGAGAAAATCATGGAATAGCTTTAAGAAGAAACGTAACACAAAGTGATGAATAATAGTGACAAATTTCAATTTCATTTTCAGCTGAATGTTTAACTTGAAAAGAATGCTAATAAATATTAACATGAATTTGTCTGTTTTCTGACTTCGATGAGAAATTATTGAAAGGAAGTCTCTCGTAGTATTTCCACTTCTAACACTTTTGCATTATTCAAATTCAGATGTTAGGAAAATATGTATAAATTTTCAAGTTATTTGTGAGGATCTCTAAATTTAAAATTACAAATAAACGCAATATTGCCTGCAAAAATACCTCGCGAGGGAGCGTTTCTATAGGAAGTTTTCAGTAATTCTCTGCAATTTATTGATGGTGATAATATAATTCTTCTCCAAACTTTTGTATTTACAAATTTCTCGCTGTCCAAATTATATTCTCATTATACCCTAAAATATGCCTTATAGAGTAGATTATGATACACAAAAAGTACAGCATGCATTTTAATCAATTACTTATGTATTTTGAAAGAATTGCGTGATGTTTTGAGGCAAAACACAATTTGATTCTCTTGCTTGCTTATTTTATGAGGCTCGAACTTTGCCAGGAAAAGAGTTACAATGTGCTACACTTGCATTCTGGGTGTCAATTCAATAACATATCTCATTAAATTCTTCATGAAATTTAACAATAGCGCGCGCACTTCTATGTCGCAAGGAATTCAGAGATCAATGCACAACATATCTTCTCTGCTTCTCCCCCAAAAAATCGACTCTACTTAATGCCTTTTGAGGTGTGATTACAGTTTCTTTATACCTTTTCGTGAATACTATGGAAAAGGGGATTTTCTATTGCTCGCTTTTGTGTACTTGATGTCTAATTTCTATAGAATTTTTCTTATTGTTACACTGTGTCGTTCTGAAAAGAGCGTCTTTAAGTGAAAGTGGGATGAATTCCTCTGCAGAAGTTCAAGTGATGCAGTGGAAAATCATAACTTAATTCTATGCCATATTAGAATTGCATAAAATGACAAATAAATAAAAGGTATTCCATAAAGTGCCGTTGCACGGATTCTAAAATTATTGTAAAATACATTCTAAACACAAATTACGTATTCTTCATATTCCGGACAAAAATTACTACATTATTGTCCGTACTTTAAAAACTTAAGAAGCAAAGCTCCGTACAGAAAGTAATAATAATCACAAGTTACAAGAAAGAAAACTCCCACCGGACTCACTCTCAAACCTCCATTGCATTTGATGTGAATTATATCACAAGAAACTAAGAAATGACGATGAAATAAAATCAGAAAATCCTTGCTCTGTTCATTGACGAGATGTGTATTTTCCACAGCATCACTCTCTTTCGCGTCAAGAGATCTACTCTTTGAAGCTCAGCGGTCTTCTGCCCTTCACTCGTGTCACCAAATTGCAAATCTTTAAAGCTGGTCCTAATTTCAATCCCATGTACTTCATCATCATGTCTGAGTTCAGCAGAAGCAGGGCTTTTCCATCAATCTCCTGAAAGACCGAAAAGTTGTCAGAGGAAATGCATTGAAAATTAAATCCATCAATCAGTAACTCACGTGCTTCCTGAAGAGATCAGCATGAATGGCTAGAGCTGGATCTGTGATGGCAATATAGTCGATGACTTCCTCAATCGTCCACTCACTGGGTGAAGATGTGGGCATTTGAGGGCTTCCCGATGAATTCTGCTGGTTCACCGCTAAACAAGGTGACGAAGATGTGCCTACAAAGAGTAAAAATATCATGTCATCACTCCATCCCTCAACACTCAGGCTGTCACTGGTCAGCTGATTGGCGTGACTTACCTGTTGATGAGGATGGAATTGGTGAGTCATTTGTCGTGGTCGACGTGGCGGTTTCCTGCTCAGCCACGCGCCTCCTCTTGGGACTCATCGACCCGGGCGCTGTGCTCTCCGTCTCTGCTGGTCTCTTGAGCGGCGCAGCGCAGGCGGAGCAGTGCTCCGGCCCGGGTTCCAGTGTTATAAAGTTGCCACAGCTCTTCACTGTGGTGCACAGCATCTCCAGGAACTCCACCATGGCGCTGTTGCCCTTCTTCCGCAAGTAACTGGGAATCTTCACTGTGAAGTTCTGCCCAGCCGCCGTGACGATGTGCACCTCGCCTTCGAGTGCGAAGAGGAGCTGCGACAGCTGCGACGTGTTGGAACTGGCGGCGAGAATCGCCTCAAGGCATAGCTTGGCAAGGATCGAGTGACTGGGCGCCGTCAGCTTCGGCGGCAAGCGCGAGCCGTTAATGTACGGTCCGCCCTTGCATCGTGTGTGAAAGTGCACAGTCACGGGCTTGGTCGGCGTCATGGCGTCCACATCGGCGAGCGCGACGCTGGAGCGCTTCGTGTGCTTACCCTTGGACGTCGAGTCGAACTTGTTCTTCTGTCCGGGCGGCTGAATTGGGTGGCAACTCTTGGCACACCAGCCAACGGGAAAGATGTCACGGGAATCGTAGCGACACCAATAGTCGAACGCTCCTCGCCACCCATCGAAGGTCACATGAATCTGATCGTCCTTCACCGCATCGACAGTGGCACAGCAGATGAGCTGAGGATTCTTCTTGTCCACCGCTTCGAGCTTCTGTCCCACTTTGAAGGCATTCACGCGCGGCGTGCGCGGCTCACGTTGAAAAATCTCCTCAGGCGCCGTCGTGGCGCCATTGAGTGTCTTGCACAGGAACGTGGGCCAAGTGCTAGCGTTGAGCAGGAAGCCCAGCGGAGGCTGCAGCATTCCGCCGTTCTTCTCACAATGGCCAATCGGGTGGATTTCATCCGAGTCCACGAGGCGCCAGAAGTCATTCTTGTTATCACTGCCGTCAAGGCGGAGCCTCAGGCGTGCCCCCAAAACACCCACGACTGTTGCTATGCAGATGGAAGTGACATTGCGCGGGTCCAGAGCCTCTAGCTTCATGCCCATCTTGAAGTCGTTGATCGGCGGATTGGGAGCCTGCTTGAAGCACTCAGAAGGCGCAGCTACACTTCCGGTTTTCTGCAAAACAAGCATGTTTCAAATTACACTCACGCATTCAAGGTTATCGCGCTCAACCCACCTTCAGATACTCATCCCAGTTGAAGACGCGCAGCGGCTCATACTGGAATGGTCCCGACTGACTTATGGGACTCGTCCGGTCATCGTGGTTGACGTTGTTCCCATTGCTGTCGTTTATGTTCTCAATGTTGTTGTTATTGCTATGCGACTGACTCGAGCCGCCGTTGGCGGACAGCTTCTTCGAGTGCTTATTCATGCAGAAGTTGGAACAGAAGTCCCGATGGGGCGCATTATCCCGAATCACGTTGTCGCACTGTATACAGGCACCCTTGCTGTACGCCTTCCGGAACTCCGTGATGCACAGCTCAGAGCAGAACTCCTTCTTCCCATTCTGCGTGGGCAGCACATACTTCAACTGTATCTTCGTCTCGGCACACCATGTGCACGGACTCATAGGGGGTTTCTTGGGTCTTCCCGGACCGCGGCTTTTGCTTGGCGCAGTGGCGGGCGGACTGCTGCGATTTGTTGACGAACTGGTCTCACTGTCATTCGACATCATTCACATTTCACGCTATTTTCCGTGTGTTTGTGAATGCTATCATCTCGTGCTACGCGCACGATGTTGCAGAGTGTTTAGAGAGTTCACTGGATTGCCAAAAATCTCACTATTGCGATGCAATTTGACGGAAAACCACTTCACAAGCAATAGCGTTCTTTCAATATTCGCAAGACGCCATTTTTGCTGATTTGACATCAAAAGTCGATGTTTTCGCTTTTTCGATGTGCGGCATCGCCGCGGACATCGCACTCTGGCGGGGAAAGGAATGACTGAATGTTTGAATAAGGACAGGGGGTTCCCCGATTTCTTCGCCCTTTTCATATATCGTTTGGAAAATAGGAAAGAAATAGTTGAAACAAGAGTTGAACAATTATCTCAAATATATACTTTATTAGTGGAGCATCGAGGAGTTAAGAAAATAATTATATTTGGACAGTTGTAAGTCTTTTTTTTCTGGGAATTACATTTTAAATACCGACGGCGTAGTGTTAAAATAATGCGACAAGCGCTTAGAATAGTTAGAACGACGAATTTCAAGATAATTAGATTTCTATTATATAATGTATTTTGAGTAGAACGAACTGGATTTACCAAGATTTACTTAAGAGTTAGAAAACATGGAGATAATTCATGTAAACATTGAAATAATAAATTTATAAAAATAATTCAGATTCGAAGTAGGTATTAGTGGAGAATAAGATTAATTTTCAGAACTAAGTGAAATAATGGATTGAGAGTCCCATGGAGACTCGAGTGGACCCTCGAGAGGAGAATCAGATGAAATTGTTATAGTCTCGATCGCTGCCTTCTTACTGGGCACATCACTGGCTTCGGCCGGATCCTCCGTATGAGGTCTCTTGAGCCCGCGATTGTTGATCTCCTCCAGGATCATTTCATAGCCTGGAATTTCGGTGTATCTCTCCCAGAACACCTTCCAATACTTCCTGACCGCCATCATACTTTGTCCAGGAATGCTCTTGCAGATTAAATCTATGTTGTCCTTTCCATAGCGAGCTGAAACTTCTATGAATCGTCTGAAGCTGCTATAATCCCAGTCCTTGAATGAATCGTGCAGGAGTTTGTCGTAGTCATCGCGCTCAGATCGCATCAGAGGTAGAGCAAACTGTATTTTCTTGTTCATTTCATTGCTATCTCCCTATAAAAAGACGAAACATTCTTCAATCTTCTGAAGATAAGTTGCGATTATCAATAAATTACCTCATACTGCATAGTCTTCATGTAATACAGCTTCTCCTTCTCGATGTAGTTTTGCAGGCGTTTATTAAAGAGCCAGAATGGCTTGTAGGTCTTCAGATAATACGGCATTCGCTCCAAACCAGACGCGTAGGTTGATAGGCAACGAGCTCGTCTCTTCCATCGCGGCATGTCGGGCTCCTGCTCCCTGAGAGTCTTACAGATCTGCTCTCTCTTCTCATTGAAATCCTCCCCGTCGAACTTGTATAGACTCTCGTACTTGTGGCGCAAAACTAGCTGATCCTGTCTGGTAGCCTCCTCTTGATCATGTCTCTTCTGGCATCGCACCAAAATCGTGTCCAAATCCTCCTCAGCCAGCGTCTCAGCCTTTCCCTCTAGATACATATTCATGTCCTTCATGACGATGTTCGACGGAAAATTTCGCTCATTCTTCAGACTCTGTTTGTGGATCAGCTTCTCGTCGAGAGTCATCTTCATCTCCGAATACTCAACGATTCGTTCATCCACTGACTTCTCCGCAATCAATTTGTACACACGCACTTGCTTCGTTTGGCCAATGCGATGAGCCCGATCTATTGCTTGGAGATCCATCTGGGGATTCCAGTCACTGTCGTAAATTATCACAACATCCGCCACGGAGAGATTGAGGCCCAGGCCACCGGCGCGAGTGGATAGGAGGAAGATTTGCTTGTCACTTCCAGCCCTTGTGAAAGACTCCAACTCAGCAGTGCGTGCCATTCCAGTCAGACTACCATCCAGGCGGCTGAATTTGTACCCTCTAAGCGTGCAGTAGTCCTCAAGGATGTCCATCATTTTTGTAAATTGGAAAAAGATCAGGATTCGCGAGCCCTCGGTCAAGTGACGCGCCACCAACTTGTCCATTATTATCATTTTGCCACTGTTCCTGATCAGATGCTCACCCGTTACGAACGGCGGCCCCTCTTCAGCTCCCTCAAACAAATACGGATGACTGGTACATTTGCGCAAGTGTATTAGAAGATTGTGCAGTGACTTCTTGTTGAGAATACCCTGACTGTCTCTCTCATATAACTCCTTCAGCAGAAGCTTTCGATACCACTCCAACTGCAGATCAGTCATGCCCACGTAGATCTTCAGCTCCTGCTTCGGCTTCAAATTTTTCTCCACATCCGCCTTGATTCGTCTCAGCATGAAAGGCTTGATTATGGCCCGAAGGCGATCAGTCACCATTTGATTATTAATACACTCCATACTCTCGAACCACCTATCGAAATCCTCGCCACTGTTGAAGATGTCTGGCATGAGGAAGTTCATCAGAGCCCACAACTCGTGAACGGTGTTGTGAATGGGCGTTCCAGTGAGGATCATCTTGTGATTCGTATGCAAAGTCCTCACTTTCTTAGCCCCCAAAGTGTTCTCGTTCTTAATCCTGTGTCCCTCATCCAGAATCACAGTGTGATACTTGATCCCCTGCAGCACATTTGTCTCCACATAAGTCATCTCGTAAGTGGTGACCAGGACGTCAAATTTCTTCGGCTTGATCACCTTCTGGACCTGCTCGTAACGCTCAGCCTTCGTTCCGTGGAGCTTCACGACTACCAGCGACGGACACCAGCGCTGGAACTCGTTTAGCCAGTTCTGCAGAGTGGACATGGGCACAATCACCAGGTACTTCAGCCGCTGCGACAGCCCTTTGGTAAAGTTGAGATACCCAATGAACGAGATAGTCTGCAGCGTTTTCCCGAGGCCCATTTCGTCGGCCAGAATCCCGTTGATGCCGTTCTCGTAGATGGAAATCATCCAGTTGAGCCCTTCCACTTGGTAATCCCTCATCTCGCCATTGTTGATGAAGTCCGGAGTGCTCATGAACTTCATCACAGACTTGGGCTCAGACTGTGAAGCGGAGCCCGTATTTTTCCCTACATTTTTGCTGAAGAGAGAAAAAACAAAAATAATTAACTTTTCAGAAACCATTACATTAACCTTACAATGCAGCTTCGGCCCGCCGGTCGCGTTTCTTGCTGTTGGTGATGAAGTGATCATAAATCTGGGTCTTCGAGATGAGATATTCAAGCCTTTTCTCCACATTTTGTTGCACATTGGCATTGAAAACAGCCTTCTCCTCGGCTTTATCCTGAAATGAAGAGAAGCAATTCGATATTCCATGATGGACGAAGTCAAGACAAACCTGAACGTGTCCTTACCAAACGCCGCTGTTCCTTTTTCTGCTTCAATGTTTTCTTCACCGAAGGCTCCAGAGTCTCAACGACAGGATCATCGGGAGCGTTCTGAGACATTTCCTCCTTCAATTTTCATTGACAAAATCAAAGAGAAACGAGAAAAATTGCATGAACACACGAACCACACAGAACAAAAAAACGCACTGAATTTCATCGCATACTGTAATTTTGTAATTCGATCGAGACCCGCTAGGCGAAAAACAAAGGCGGGAAAAGTTTCCTGTATTTATTCAGGTTATATGTCCTCTACCGATTCGCCGCTGTTAGTTGGAAGCAGGAACAAACGCAGCTTCCTGACCAGCATCCATGTATCTCTCAGCATAGTGGATGATCTCGAAGAGCACCTCCACCATAATCAGGATGATGATCATCCACTCAAGACGCACATGATGAGCATCATTGAGATTTGATGAAATAAGATCCGCCAGTTCAACACAATGATTCAATTTCTCGTTCATCACCTGGAAAATTTCATCATTATTAACGATTATTACAGACTTCGAGGATAATCCAGCTTGCCTTTGTCCTCCGAGAAATACTGAAGTATCCACAAGTCTGTGCGTAGAGGTTTTCGAGATGTTCTCGGTCCCAGTAGAAATCAGGCGTGTCCAGAAGATCGGAACTCAAGTTGATGAGGTGGCGAAGAGCAAACAATTCTCCTGTTTTGCGCAACATTTCCGCTCTGGACATTTTAATCTTCGACCCACGCTTTAAATCCTCCGTCACAAAGGCGATGGAATCGATATACTTATCCAGAGATGCTTCCCAAATGCCCAGCTTCACGGACAGAGACATTGCGTTGGAGAATGTGTATTTTTCAAGGTAGCTCTCCTCATCCCTGGTCAGCATGAAGAGTCCTCGCTTCAGATGGGCTGACAACTGGTCTGTAGACACGTAATTGTACACCATTTGCTCACTCTCTCCAGACACAGTATTGTCATCATAACTGTGCTGCTCGTACTGCTTTAGGAAGGACAAGACGTTGCTGCACTCCAGCTCACCGATGTTCCACAGAATCACTGTGCCCTCGCGAAAGAAGAAGATATCCCTGGGCTCCTTATCTACCTGATACTTTGCCGATACGTAGAGCACATCCGGATCCACGCCATTATCATCTGTGCAGATGAATTTCTTCGGCACGTACAGCTCCTGCTGCACCAAGCCACTGAGCAGCTTCTCAAGATCATACTCCTCAGCAGTGGCATAGGCTGTCACAGTAAAATTCCCATCCTCATGCACTTCTGTCTCTTCCGGACGCTTTTTCCTCACTGGACGCTTCTTCATCTGCAACGTTGAGATGTTCCCAATGGACTTCTGCCCCAGAAACCCACCCGTGCGGATGGTGGGCAGCTTCAGTGAACTGGAGAAAGTTGATTTAGGGACAAAAGTCGAGGAGAATCTCACAAACTGGACAGCCAAGCTGATCCTCGCTGGCTGATGTAAGCTCCCGGTGAAGTTTGAAATCACACATTTGGACAGCAATAATTTCACTGTATTCATTGTGTCAAGCTTTTTGTTAATCTCTCGCCTCGCTGTCACACCACAGATATCAGAAGTACCGCAGGAAAACCAAGGAAATTGATGGAAAAGTGCTGGTTGAAAATGCACAACAATCACACATGTTTTGGAACAAACAGTGCTGCCAACTGGACGGCGAGTCGTTACGTCATGAGTTTGGGCTGTCAAGAGAGCGGGATGTTCGTAAATTTTTCAGCGTGGTGAGCGCAGTGTTTTTTGTGAAAAATCCCCATTTTCCTGGACAAAAGGATGTTCCTCGTCGCTGTAACAGGTGGAATCGCCACGGGCAAGAGCACAGTGACTCAGGTGTTCAGGGACAATGGAATTCCAGTGATAGATGCCGATATAATAGCGAGAGCAGGTAAAATGAAATCTCGGGATTGTTTTTTTCCTGCTGTTTCTCGCGATAAAATACGTGGTGATAAGATAAATGGGGTGTCTTCGGTGTTTTGCAGTGGTGGAACCGGGGAAGCCCGCTTGGCAGAAGATCAAGATGGTGTTTGGGGACGGGGTGTTGACGCAGAGCGGCGAGATCGATCGGGAGGCTCTGGGGCGTCTCATCTTCAACAGCGCCGAGAAGAGGAAGATTCTCAATGAGATCACTCATCCGGAAATTCACCGGATCATGTACAAGCAGATCATCAAGTACTTCTTCCTGGGACATTCGTTCGTGGTGCTGGATCTGCCGCTGCTCTTCGAGACGGGTGTTATGCTCCAGTTTATCCACAAAATCATCACAGTCACATGGTCTGACATCGATTTTCGGGCGCGGTTTTCGGCGAGAAGAATCCTTAATCTGTGTCTTTTGTGGCTGTATTACAGTGAGGAGGACATGCAATTGACAAGACTGATGGACAGGAATCGCTTTTCCGAGGAGGATGCCAAGAAGAGGATCGCAGCTCAAATGCCGCTGCAGCACAAATGCGAGAAATCTCACTTTGTCATCGAGAATTCTGGATCAATTCGCGAGACTCAGGCGGAGACACTCAAGATCCTCGAGATGCTGCAGGAGAGCAATCATCACTGGAAGCTCAGGGGTATTCTGCTCACCACGGCGGCCATTCTCTTCTCGGGCATCGCCTGGTTCCTCCACCATCGATACAAAATTTTCACACTGCCCCAGATCCAGTAGATTCTGAGCAGCAGCACAGTGGCATTTCTTTCTTTTCCAGGATGATGGTGTCTTTATTTTGTTGGTTTTTTTTGACTACCTTTCTTATCCCTTTGTTGGTTCTTGCGAAATCCTCTCAACATCCCCGAATTCCATGTGCAAATATGTGATTCCCGCTAAAGTGGAACAAACTGCAAGTCATGAATATGAGATGATTTTTTCTCAAAACACTTTTTTCGTGTTTTTCTGGTCTGTGGGAGGATTTGATACGCAAAATGCTCCGTGGAAATGTTCTGATGACTACTTATGAATATCTTGCAGGTGTATTGATACAGATTGCACAAGTTTGACTGTATATGATGAGCAAATAGGAGAATTTCCCCATCAGCTTTAGCCTTTATAAGCAGGCAGGAAGGCATAGAGTTGAGCAGAAAAAGTTTGGATGCGGTCAGAAATAGTGAGTTGTTATTATTCTGTGGGTGTTCTTTCGCCGCATTCTATCGCTATTCAATGATGATGAGGCGACTCCATAAAAAAAATCCCCCTAATTTATGTGTGTGGCTCTTACGTGACACTTTTGCCGTGTTTGTTTTCATTTTCACGGCAACTCTCTGCCCAAATAACGTTGACTCATACTCGAAATTGAGTGAAAGATCTGTACCTATTTGCATGGAGAAGAGATGATTTCCCTCTGTGCCTTTCAACTGGAGAGAAATTATCAGAAATTGCTCAAAAGTGCATCAGAGTGGGTCATCTTAATACGCGGCTAAAAGCATTAAAAACCATCATAAAATAGAAAAATGAATGTTTATCGCTGTCGCGTTACTTCTTCCACGAATTCATCCATGAGTAAAGAGCTCAGTCAGTTCGGGAATGGCGCAAATAAAAATTTGCGCGATTTGTTCATGGTGCGGCCACAAAAAAGTAGTTTAGAACATTATGTTATTACTCGGCTTGTCGTAAAGTTGGAAATCAATTATAATCTCGCTTTGTCAACTGAATTGACTCAATTTTCCCTCATTTAACAGATATCCTTCGTGGAGTGAAGTCGTGTTTCAAAGTGTTGAAAATTATGAATTTCTCTGTTGTCCTGAGCATTTTTGCTATCCTCGTGATTGACAAGGCAGAAGGTGCGCCTCCTAATTGGTACACTAGTCCTGACTTCGGGTAAGTTCTATTACGTGAAAGGTGTGGAAGTGAAACAATGTATTTGAAATGGATTTTTATCTACACATTCCACAGAAATGAGTTATCGAAGTACATCAACGAGCAAGTTCAGCAGAGTTTGAGCGGTTTGAGTGAGTATCGAGTATGAATTTGTCCACGATTTGAAGAAAAGGAGGCAAGTTGAGGGTCAAGACATATGATGTGCTTGATTTGCAGAATTTGAAGTCACAGTTCAAGCCAATATTTTGATTTTAGTCTAGAAAAGATTGTCAAATCGAAGAGTAAACGCAAGAAATGTGGATGAGATGCTGCGCTAAAACGAAATAACCTTTTTGCTAAAGATTTAGAATAATTCTAATCGGATATTGGAATTTTGTTCTGATTGTTTACTTTCACGATGTCATTTTATACTTCTCAGCGTTATCAGGCAAATATTCTTGTCATTATAATAATGAATTTGACTCAACTTTGCTGACTTGTGTCATTCCATCTTCACTCATGATATTAATCACAAATTAAGATAGTTTCTTAAACTTCTAGAGGGTCTGGATAGGCTTCAAAATTTGGGTTCTGAAATTTCTCAATCTGTGCAGACACAATTGGACAATGAGTTCTGGTTCAAAGGGTAAGTTTAGGATGATTGTTGAATCTGCTTTTTCTCAAGTTGTTCATATGGTTTTAATTGGCTGAACGATTGCTTGATAACAGTCATAAACCTCAACATAATTGCTAGAAAGAACTATTAAGATTGAGAGTTGAGATTGTAAGAAAGACCTCTTGTAACGGAGGAAAGATAACTTTATATTGCATTCTTCGTATCTTCCAGGGAAAATGTCTGTGTTAAGGAAGAGGTGTCGGAAGTTCCCAGCTATAAGTCAAACGTAAATTACTATTATTCTACTGGAACCATTGGAATGCAAAACTCTCAAATTTGCCAGGGAACAAATAATGTTTTCACCTGCACTAAATTGTAAGTATAGAGAGAGATTTAACGATGAATTTTATGAATTAACTGAAAACTTTTCTGCAGTGAAACTACCGATGGCACAACTCGGAAGATCACTAAAATTTATACATGCTGTGAAAACTACAGTCTTGGCTATAATGGCGAGAAAAAGCGCTGCTTGAAAAATAACTAATTTCCACATTTAAACCTGATCGCCTTTCCTAATGGAATATTTCAGACAAATTGAGAGATTTTTTTTGTCATGCAATAAAATAATGGAACAATTTTCAATTTCTCATTCGCCCTATCCTTGACTCTGTGCTGAAGAATGTTCCTTTTTTGCCAGATATGCGGAGTAGAATAGAATGTATAGCGGATTGGTTTGGAGTGACAAAAAACGGCGACAATTCATTTAAAGTGGAGGAATGAATGGCGTGCAAAAAGTGCGAGATTGGCAATTAAAAGCAACAATATTTCTTCGGTTTCAGCCGATGAATCCGCTCCGTTGTGACTAATTGCTCACATTTGGTTTCTATGAAGCATTCTTCATTGCATTCTTCATCGAAGAAGAGCGTCAATTGTAAATAAATGAGCTCTTGGGAGTGTGCAGCAGAAGTGAGACTTTGTCAAGGCAATTTACGCCACGATCACGATCAGTTGTAACATTCAGGAAAACATTCCTGGCCGAGATGCTCAACTTGTGTCGCGCGATTGCTGTTGTTTTGATTAATTTTGCCAGTTTGAAAGATTTCTTTGCAGAGTCGCGATCGCGATCAGCGATCGTTCTTGCCTAGTGGCTTCTCCAGGCGCGCACGATCGCGTTTGTGTGTAGCTGTGATTATAAATACGAGCTCCAGGCCCAGAGGCCCAAGCAGTTGAGCCCAACAAAGCGTCGAGGCAACACTGCAGCCCGTTCATCAGCCGTGCTTTCTTCTGCTTTCTTCTCCAGCCAGTGATCACAGTGCGTGGCCGGAGAAGTGTGGTTTTCCGTGGCAATTGTGTGTGGCATCTCAAGTGAATCAAGAGGAAAAAGTTTCTTGCTGTGAAATTGTGAGGTGAAGAGAGTGAGAGACGAGCCCAGAGGGAAAATGGAGCGTTTCCCTTCAATTTCTCTCCTTATCGTGGCCGCTTTGGCTGCACTTGTGGCCAGCGAGGAGTTTGAGTAAATATCAAATGATGAGAATTACGTGAAATTGTGATGTGAAGTAAGAGAGTTATAATTCAATTGTGTGCTCCGCAGCGATGTGGCTCGAGCTGCATCACCTGGCTTCGCCGATGGCTTCAACCAGTGGCACTCTGGCTTGCTGGACTTCAGTGGGACGCAGGGACTCTTCTGGCCGCACCAGCTGGAGCCGGCGTTCCGCGATGGGAGCAGCTTTGGGCCGCGTCAGCCCGCCGTTGAGCACATCCCAGTGAAGGCTGACGAGACCGCGGACGGGAAGCCAGAAGGCGACACCGAGCCTCTGGGTGAGTCCCATGCGATTGTTCTCGACATTGTTGCGCACTTCCGCAAGAATTCAATTGCAAGATCGACAGATCGATGAGATCTTACGGGAAGCACTTAACTGCAATCCATAAATTTTTTCACATTCACTGATCATCTTCAAGAATATAGAGACTCGATATTGCATGAGTTGTTCAATTTAGAAAACATGCACATAACTTTCCTATTTCCTCAATTCACCTTGAATTGTTGGTAATTTTCGGACAAATCACACTGATTTCCACACAAAATATCACCCTTTTTTTGCAGACGTGGAATTCATCAGCGGAACCGTTGGCAATCCGGATGACACTCAAGTGCAGATTGAGAATCGTCCGCCAGTGCAATCCTATCCGTCTTTCGGCGCCGGATTTGGAGACACTCTCTTCCAGCACACCTTCACGAACTTCCCCGGATTCAACAACTTCTTCCCAGGCTTTGGCTTCAACACTCCGCAATTCAATCCCTGGTGGAGAGGGTGAGTCACACAGATATGCAGATCACTTCCGTGATGTCCTTTTCATGATCCAGAGCTCTTCTACACTTTTAATTCAGCGACTTTGTTGTACTTTGTCTCGCCTCTAATTTATGCACATCTTCTGCACACTTCCTCGTGCATAATCAGAAGCGCATCTCGTTGTGCAATGGCATCTTTTCCGGCTCAAGTCGCGCTGCATCAACTGAAGAGTCTCGGGAGAAATTTAATTATTTCGGTAGAGCATATTTTCAAAAGCACGATTGAGTGAGTTTCTGTGTCCGACTGAACTCTCGATCACTCATGTCCAAATAGACCGTGAGAGGAGATTTTTTGAGAGGTTTTGCTTTTACTCAACCTCTTCTTTGTCTGCACTTAGCATTTCATCTCGCGATCTTAAGCCGAAAAAATACCACTTGAAGACCCTCAAATGGACACATTTTCTCACTGTGCGCGCTGCGATTTTGAACAGCGATTTCATGACCTTTCCACAGCCGCACAGGAATACAATTCGTCTCTATGCATCATGACAATTAAGTGCGCGCCTCAGAGGGGCATTTTATCGCTATGGTGCGGCAAAATTGTGAATTCTTCGTCGACATTGAATTACCGCTAATTTTTTCTACACACCAAAATCGACAATGTGTCGCAATTTTCACTGCGATCGCCGGAAAGATCGGGTCATGGTGTTTCGCATGTGCCCACATCACCTCATAAATTCTCACCCGGTTCCATGTCGAGCTCTATCACCGAACGCCTCCCTGAACATCGCTCTTCAGAACGCTCGAAAACTCGAGAGTGTTCCAGATCAGTGCAGAATGTGTGGCGCGTCACTTATTCAATTGAATTTGATGGAATAATTCATGAAAAGTCGACAATTACATCAGATGCCACTCTTGAATTGCGCACTGTGTTTTTTGGGGAGGGAATCTCTCTTTTGTCTCCGGGCGCGCACAAAGAAGCGGGAAATTTATGTGGGAGATTAAAGAATTCAACTCCGTGTGAACTTTCGTGGGGAGATTTGCATTACAAATGATAATTTTTGTGCGTGATCTTGCAATATGTCTGCCTTGCAGAGCAATCTGAGGTGTTTTTGGATGATCTTCCTGTTATTTAAACGGTTAAAAATACTAAAATCAATTTCCAAATAGGAAGAGATTTGCCAATTCTGTTTACTCTCCTAATCACATCAATAACAAACGATGTTTTTCTGCTCTAATCGCCGTTAAATGGGTATTTAGTAAGAAATGTTGCGAAAGAAATCAAAACATTTAAAGTCAGGGGAATAAAAGCATTAAGTGATTAAATCGGAAAAAACTCCCAGCAATTGAATCAAATTATAATAATAGCACGTGTGCATCAGGGAAATGTATGTCGAAAGATCGCCTCTCAATCGCTTGTGGGAGGGCAAAAATTATGCCTTTTTTGCCAGCTGTGAATTACATTGGCCTCCAGCCGAAAAGAATCGTACACTCTCAAGTGAAATGTGGAGAAAAAATGCGCGAAAGTGCGCAGAAATTGATAATTTCATAAATCCACATACGCGATCACGATAATGACGAAGTTTCTCTTGCCTATGCTTTTCTATGTCATCAAGTTCATCGGATAGCTAATTTCTAAAGAGAGACAAAGGCAATTTGGGTGTGAAGAGGCCCACCAGAATGGCTCCTTGATGCAAATGAACAATTGCACGCATGTGTGATTTTCTATGACCTCGAAAGAGTGTGTCTCACCTCACCAGAAATTTTCCCCTGGCCGACAACACGAGCTCTCACTCGAAATGGTGCGTCACATCATCCTAATTCCACCCAGAGTGACATCCATTAAGCCAACTTCCTCAATTTAGAGTCATTGTGGCGTTCCCGACAACCCTCAGTCCGTGTTTTTGCCAGCTCGATCGCCGATCAATCTCGACTTCGGACACTCGAGAGATCGCGCAGCGTCTTTGTCTCTGCGTGGGTCAGAGACATTTGCGCAAATTACCGTTAAACTCTTGCAACTTTTGTCACGAAAGATCACGCCGGATGATCTTTCCGAGAGTCCCAGAGAATTACCACTCATTGTCACCACTTTGTCAATCGCCTGAGTCAATTTCACGCTTCCACGTTCACTGATGAGATTTCACATTTCACCTGTACCCATTACCTTGATTTTCTCACGAAATACACGATTGAGAACACTTTTCACCGCCAGCCATTGTGCGCGGCGGAAGGAAGCGTCGATTTACCGAAAAACACCGCGGTTTTCAGGCGCACTCGTGATCACGGGAAATTTACACTCGAGGTGAAGTTTAAGCAGAGATCTGAAAAGATGAATGAGCCAAGATTATTTCTGGAAGTCCGCATTGCAAAGATCACTGCATATTCACGACTTATCATTTGCATATTCTATCACAATTGTAATTATTTGAAACTTTTAAGTCTACTCTGAATAGAAATGCAGCAGATTCTGACAATAATCTCTCACGAATCTTTGTCATCAAAGCACGCTCTTGAATACACAATCCAAATTTATTTATAAAATCTTGTGACTCAGCTGGAAATATTTTCACTTTTTTTTCAATTGGAAGAATTGAACAATAACTTTAAACTTTCTTAACTTCTTTTACTTCGATTATGGAGATTCGGGAAGCTCTCACAATAAATAACACAATACAACTATGCAAAAATATATTTCCAAGTTTTAGAATCGTTCGAAAATCTTAGAAAATGAGTCTTTCTCAAGCTCCAAAATCACAATTAATCATATGATTGATGAATATTCAGCACAGAGTGTGTGGATATGAATTCCTTTTCTGTATTTCGTGAGAGTTTTCCGATTGATGAATTTATGAAGACACTTTGATTGTAACACATCGCTGGAAGTAAGAATTAGCAAGAGTTAATATCATTTTAATGCTACACTTGGCGTCATTTCCGCAACCAAACGATCGGCAAAGTCAATTTTGAGTGAATATATTAAATATCACGAAAATTTGTGCTTCATTCGCAATGACTTTTACCACACGTTTTGCTGAATTCGTGGCATTTGAAGCCGAAGAGGCAATTGAGCTGCAGACATGCAATTTTTCTGTGAACTCTTTCAAATATTTTGTGCTCTGCAATTATTTCTCACTGGCGAACGGATGTCTTTGCACGCTGGGGCCTTGGGGGTCCGTTAGCGCTTAATTACTCTTGAATTGGGTCGACTTTTGGCAAATGTGCGGGTCTGGTGAAATTGACTGTGAGTCCCAGAAACCAGAGATGAGGTCGCATCGAAGTCGAGAGATAGTGAATTGGCTGATTCTTTCTCTGTTGAAAGGGCACTGCTTTTTTGATAATGCCTTATCAGGGGTTATTAGGTGTCATGTTGTGCATTAAAATGCCGTCTTTCTCTCGCTTCTTTCTGTGTGTGTGTGTGTGTGTGTGTGTGTGTGTGTGTGTGTGTGTATGAGGAAATTTCGAGACAAGTCAATAAATAAATCAGTGGAATTCTTTGGGTATTTTTTCAAGTGGAAATCCCAATGTTTTGTCTTATAGACCAAATGTGTGCACGGAGAAGGAGGAGGACGTCGAGGAGTGGGACAGAGATATGCTCTCTGGGCTGTCTTTGAACTTCGAGTCGTGCGTTGAGAAGCCCAACAAGCACGTCTGCAAGACAATGTGAGTTGAAGTGCCGCGGCCAAGCGACAAGATCAGCAGCATAATTGCTATGTATTTTCCCATTGCAGCTCTAATCGCAACGGGCAGAAGTACACGGTGACCGTTACTCACAAGTGCTGCCACGGATTCGAGAGGGCCAGGGAAGGCGGACGTCATGCCACGTGCAAGAAGGTCGATCTTCACTCCGTCGAGGAGACGGCAGAGAGTCTGGGAGCCAAGGAGTTCATGAGGAGTGTGAAGAACAATGGCCTGACCGAGAAGATCACCGAAAATATCACAATGTTTGTCCCTCTGGATTCCGCTTTCACGGACTTCTCTGAGAAGATGTTTGAGTCGGTGAGTTTACAAGCACTTTTGGCGCATTGCCATTGCTCGAGTGTTTGATTGTCTGGGGTTGTTTTGCATGCAGATGATGAGACATCGCGTGAATAGTTCATTTAACAAAGAAATTAGCAAGTCTATTTGCCATTTTTATTTTGCATTTTTTCCTCCTCTCAGTCGTTATTCCCAATGGGGCATAATATATTTTAATTTCTCACAAATCGATATGCCATGTTTGTAGTAATTTTCTATAGCTTTCCATCTTCGGCTTATTGTTGTCTCTAGAAAAAGCACATGACTCTCTGTTGACTGTATTGATTCTGAGAATTGGCTGATTTATGGCACTTGTTTGCATTTCTGAGGGGGAGTTCAAAGTCACCCAAAAACGGTAGAAAGTAAGAGAATTCTCTCTTCCAGAATCTCGTTGTCCTCCCACTCTCGAGGAGTCGCCGCGCCACCAAGGACGTGTCCGGAATCACGACGAGGGAACTCGCTCTGGCGCACATTGTGGACGGATTCGTGAGGATTGAGGATGTGCAGAACGAACAACTTTTGACCACTTCCTTCGAGAACTCCACCATCCGCATGAACATCTTCCCACGCCCGCCTCACTTCGATAGCCACGATTTCCGCTACACCGCCAATTGTGCGCCTCTCCTGAAGGTCAACAAAGTGGCCACGAACGGCATTGTGCACGTTGTGGAGAAAGTTCTACCGCCCGTGACGCAGAACATCCTGGAACTGATTGAGGGACGCAGCGACATGACGATCCTGCGCACGGTGCTGCAGAAGACGGAGCTGGACAAGATGCTGGGAGAGGAGGGCAAGTCCTTCACGCTATTCGCGCCCACAGACAGCGCCTTCGAGAAGCTGGAGCCCCACCTAAGACGCACCATCAAAGAGGGAAATGGCTGTGCCACAAGTAAGTCCCATTGTCTCTCAGCCGCCCATCATTACGCATTCAGGTCACACACGACACTCATCCATGTCTTTCCGGAGCGAGAAATGCTCCCCGAGAGTGTGATGATTGCTCTGCTCAGTTCAGTGAAGCGCATGAAGGCATGACAATATTAAAGTGGATATCTGTTTACGCAGAGGATCGTAAATTTGCACACGATATACCTTCAAATGACCGTTACTTAATGTAGAAAAAATTACATAAGAACAACATTCTCTAATTAGCGGCAGATTTACGCTCGCTCTGCCTTTTATTCTTGACTTTAATGACACATTTAGAGAGTCAAGAACAAATATTTATCGCGCTTGTAGAAATAAAAGTTCTCGATTCTGAGATAATAACACAGCTATGGTCTCGGCTTTATTGTTTTACCTATATAGCAAGATTAGGTCGGAATGAAGCTATTTCATGGCTAAGAATGATCTGAAATAATATTTCTAAACTCTTCCCAGGTTAACTGAAGCTTATTCAGGCATTCAACGTTATGATTAATGAACTATTACATGGCTTTATGTCCTTTTGACCTAAAAATTCAATTTTCCGATTTTATGACGCCTTTAGAATACGCGTGACTTAATTGTCTTACTGTAACAAACAATAGAAATAGTCTTATAATTAATGATCCATAGAAAAAATTCGCATTATTTTTAAATTCATCGCCATTTTATGATCTATTAAATCTTGCAATGTTTGTAAGTTCTTGAAACGGTCACTAAACTGTGTGCTTGTTCCAGATATCCTGAAGAATCACATTCTGGATTTGACTTTCTGCTCCTGCGCTGTTCTGAACACGGTCATGACCAACACGTACAATTTGCTGGACCAGAAGATGACCTTCGAACGCGTGGAGGCTGAGAAGGCGACTGAGGAGTCTGAGATCGCCGACATGACGGCCACCAAGGAGATCACAGTGAATGGCATGGCCAAGATGACGGAATCCGACATCATGGCGACGAACGGCGTGATTCACGTGATCGACAATGTGATTCCCACGGAGTCAGGCATGCCCATCACTTCCATGCTCTCCTCGCAGAACCTCACCACGTTCAAGCGTCTTCTGGCGGCTTCTGGTCGTGAGGAGGAATTCGAGATGTTGTCCAACGTGAGCTTCTTCGTGCCCTCTAACAGAGCTCTGGCCGGAAGCCAGTGGGAGAAAGAGCTGGAGGAGAATCCTAGCGGGTTGAAGGACAATGAGGAGCTCATCCGCTTCCTCAACTATCACGTGGGAGTACCTCTCATCAAGACATGCGATCTCAACGACGACATGATCCGCACCAAGACCGGGGAGGATCTCCGAGTGAATCTCTACGCCACGCACCCAGTCTTCTCGAATGTGATGAACCGCGCCACTGTGAACTGCGCTCGTCTGATTCACTTCGATGACGAGAGTTGTGGTGCAGTGTTGCATCAAGTGGACAAGGTTCTGGAGCCGCCCACGAAGAGTCTCCTGGAGATTCTGGACTCTACCGAGAAGTACAGCATGTGGCGGGATTTCGTGCGCTCCACGAATTTGACGAGCCTCCTTGAGGACACGGAGCACGACTACACGATCATGGTTCCCACGAATGAGGTGTTCAGGGAGCTGCGCGAGTGGTACGAGGAGAAAATGAGCAAGCCCGAGGAGGCGGAGATGATCGTGAAGAACCACATGCTTACAGGTAAACAGGAAACTGAGTGGAGGAGAATTTGTCAATAGAGAAGGTGTAAAGAGATTCTTTCTCTCGTTAGCGAGTCGAAGATCACTGTTTGCTTGAGCCTAATCAATAATAGAGAGGCACACTCGAGGGCGCTAAGAAGCGTACAAATAAGCATTCTTCTAATCTGTCTTTCAGATGTGCTCTGCTGCGCCGGAATCGTCCCATCTGACTGGCCGTTCGTGCGCACTATCGAAGCCCTGAGCGGCCGACCTCTTCGCATCGACCGCGGTCGCCGGCCGGTTGTGGCGAACGCCGGCGTAACCAAATGTGATGTCGTGGCCAAGAACGGCGTCTTGCACGAGATTAACGATGTGATCATCCCCAAGGAGCGCCAGCGGACGCCCGTGTCGTCCTTCTTCTGGTGAGACGCCGCCCTCCCACCCATCTAAATTATACAGCAGCCGCGCCCCAGCAGCTCATCTCTTACGTTTAAGCACGCAGATTTATGTTTATTTGATCTACTAAGTGGATGGCAAATAAATTGTGAGACAAAGAGGCGTTCTTTTGCTTTTGACTGCCAGTTCAAGGTTGCCGAAGAATTTTTTGATTTCTTATTGAGACACTTCTGGACACTCTCAATATATCGGTCAATTAGACTAATTGAAGAGGCGTCGTGGCCTTTCTGCCCGGCCAAAACAAACAGTCGTTTATCAGATGTGCTTGACTTGCGACCTCTTCAATCTGGGGGATTTTCATAGGAGTGAATGAGGAAACACAATCAATGATTTGGCAAAAATGAAGGATTCCTCGGTGCTGAAGAAATAATTTCTCGAGACTTTAGGCAATTATTTACGACAGAAATAGCATTTGGCTATTTGTATGTGTAATAAGATAATAATTTATTGATAAATAATTGCGATAATGGCAGAACCAAAACTGTTGTGATATGTTTATTCTTTTGTTCTTATCGCTGATTCATATTATTCAGTGCAATGCTGTTGTAATTCTACTACTTTATCTCTATTAAAACCTATTGAAGATTTTATATCTTATCAATGTCCTTTATTTCATCTTGAACTCATAAACTTTATACAAAATCTCTCTCAATTACGGGCCCCTTTCACCCAACATGCTGATAAGGCACAGTGTCTTGCGCGCTTGCAAATAGTCGAGATCGTGCCTGTCTTGCTGCAGCTTTGTTACCTCTGAATCTGATTGTTTTTGTGGTAATCGCTTTGATACTCAGGTGAGTGGCTTTTAAATTTATTTATCACTCTTCGACTGGAAATTTCCATGAAAATTTACCGAGAATGTGTGTGTAATCAAGAGATCAATACTCCCATCTCGGTTTTTTTGGCAGCGCTGAAGAATGTCATCTCTGCCGGCAACTTTCGTCGAAGGCTTCCACGATGAAGCGTCCGTCCGTAAGATGGAGTATCGGCAGCTGGGCCGCACGGGCCTCTCCGTGTCTAAGATCTCTCTGGGCACGGGTACTCTGAGTGCCTTCTACGGGTGAGTGTCTCGGGAGCTCTGACGGTGGAATTTTCTCACTTTTGCCCTCCTTCAGGGGCGTCACTGAAGCCAGCGCTTGCGAAACTGTCCAGGGAGCTCTGAAGCGTGGGATCAACTACATCGATACAGCATATTACTATGGCCAGGGTACTTCGGAGAAGCTCCTGGGCATCGCTCTCAAGTCCGTGCCAAGGAAGGCTTACTACATCGGCACGAAAATTGGCAGATACGAATTGGATTTGGCCAGTCAATTCGATTTCAGCGCTGCGATGACGAGGAAGAGCGTGGAGAGGAGCCTCAAGTTCTTGCAGCTGGACTACGTCGACATCATCCAGATCCACGATGTGGAATTCGCTCCTAATCTCGAGATTGTTCTCAAGGTGAGTTCAGCTTTTTCTTTTACTAATGGGTTAAACTAATGAGCAATTAAAATGCCTCAGAAACATTTCCTCAACTTAACGCATGCCAGCAAAGGCAGCAAAAGTGCAATCAATAAACAATGTAACATCTTCTGAGCGCACTTTCGACGTGCTTTCAATTTCTCTGCATGGATCATGATCGCTCTGAATGACACAAGATCGCATGACATGGTCAGTAAACTCAGTGATGTTGATGTATTTTTTTAGGAAGCTCTGCCGACATTGGAAGCTCTGAGAGAGGAGGGAAAAGTGCGCTTCATCGGCGTGACTGGGTATCCTCTGGAGGTGCTGAAGCAAGCGATCTTGGGAGCGCCTGGGAGATTCGACACTGTTCTGGGTTACACGCGGTACTCAATGATTGATGACAGTCTCACGCGCTATCTGGACTTCTTTCTGGGCGAGAAGCTGGGCGTGATTTGCGCCGCTGGTCATGGCTTGGGGCTTCTGAGTCAGAACGGACCCCAGCCTTGGCATCCGGCTGGAGAGGAGATCAAGGCAGCCTGTCGCAAGGCAGCGGCGATCTGCCAGGAGGAGGGAATCGAGCTGGGTCGTCTCGCCATGGGACACTTCATCGAGCTCTCCGGGCCTGCGACCTTCCTGGTGGGCATGCAGACCGTGGAGCTCCTGAATATGAACCTGGACGTGTACCTCAACGGACTCACGGACAAGGAGAAGGCGGTCAAGGAGAGGATCATTCGCGAGACCTTTGCAAATCTCAAGCAGACGCACTGGGAGGGCGTCGAGGTATCTCGCTACTGGAGCGAGATGGCGAAGCTTGGCAAAAAGAGAGAGTGATCAGTGATCTTCGGAATAAAGAGATGATTGCCATTGAGAAACAAAAACCATTGTCTGGGAGTCATGCATCGCGATCGCGTTTGACCACATTTTGGCTCGCGCGCCGTAGAGTTCAAATCAAAGAAAGTAAAAACAACAAGCATTGAAGATCACTCAAATTAGGCGATCGTAATTGGTTGTGCAACACTGTAAAGCGATAAAAAGTAGTTTTTTCCATTTAATTTGAGGATCACTTCATATCGAGATCACGATTGAGATTAAACTTAACTTTCCCTGAAATGCGCCTAAAAATCATATTTACAGGTAATAAGATATGAAAATACACGTCATATGAAGGCAAAGACCTCTCGATCCAGTGCATTTGGATGCCCTGAGGCGTGACTAGACCATGATCTTGATTTCTGCCTGGCACGCCAGTCTTGAGGTGAGGATCAAGGAGAAAATTGCGGAAGATCACCTGAAAACGCGCTCCTACAAGTTCAGGGTGAGCAGAAGAACCACACTTGGAACCACACGAGCGTCTAAAATCCACAAAACAACAATTCGATGAAATATTTTACTTTTTTGAGGCTCTGTGCAAAAAATCAGCTCTACTTATAAATTTATTTATTCACGAGGAAAAGTGAAATATGGCTGTCGATAATAAAATCGAAAGTGATCTTGAGGAACAAAGACGGCATTCAGGAAATTTGCAAAAGTGCATTTTCCACGTGAAATTATGTAGGGAAAATTTATGATTTTTTGCCGTCAGTGAAATTTTTCCTCCTTCGTCGGGTACATAAAACAATTAAACATGATCGTTTAATTGAAAGTTAATTTTATTCCTGCTCTTGGCTGGTTTTTATTGCTAATTGAATTTTTTATAGTTCACCAGAGGTCATCAGCACGTTAATATTTTAGCTAAAATCTGTGATCTTATGTTAAAGATCACGGTTTGATTGATCTCCAATAGTGATCGCGGAAGATCTCTCTCCCTTCGCTGCTTGCGATAATAAGTGGGCAGATAAGGAAGTTTACTGGCTTGTCCCAGTTCCTACAAGATCGCCCAAGAGTTTCCCGCCAAAAATCCTCACCCCTTTTCTAATCGATCGCCTGAGCGTGACCACGATGGAGTTCAAGATCTTCGGCTCAGCCGATGAATGAATGCATGGCGGGGAGATACCGTTACATAAAGGTGACTCGCCGCCAAAGCCCGCAGTTGCTCATCAGTGTCTCATGAACTAAGGCCGAAAATTCCACGCGCTGAAGATGATCAAGAGGATTTTCAGTTCACTTCTCCTGGTGATCTTCATTCAAGTGATCTGTTGTGACAAGAGTGGCAAGTCGGAAGGTAAAGTGTGAGATTCTCAGTGGCTTGGCTGGTGTGATAATGCCTTTGTCTCTTTGCACAGACGTCTGGAAACAGGACCTGAGCGATGCCTTCCAGATCAATCCCTCCACGCACGGGCTGGAGAAGGTGCACCTGAGGTGCGGCGCCAGCTCGATGATCGTGGAGCTGGAGACCGAGCAGGAGTTCACGGGCGTCATGTACACACGTGGGAGTTTCTATAAGCAATCCGAACCGTGCTTCGCCAGGCCGCAGCCTGGCAGGAACACGAAGAAGCTCACTCTCAAATTCCCTCTCGATCAGTGCCAGACGATCAAGGATGGGGAGCTGTACAGCAACGTGGTGATCGTGCAGCACGAGCCGGATCTCGTGATGCCCGGAGACGCGGCGTTCGCCGTGGAGTGTGACTTCAGGAAGTCGCGCGATCTCACTGTAAACGCCGAGATGCAGACAAAAGACAGGTGAGAGTCACTGATTGCACGCGATCACTGTTTCTTTGCACGTGTTGCGCACGCATTCACATTAGTTTGCATGATCAATTGATGAGTTTCTCGAAATGTTTGTGGGTGGAACTACACAGTGAGGTAATGGCCGGTGGATCGAGGATCACATTGACCAGTCCAGATCCAACCTATCGACACGATCACAGCAGTGTTGCCGACACGGTGTTCAATCAATCGCACCAAGTCACTTTCGTGCCAAACCACATCGTCCCGGAGGAGAAGAAAGTGCGAGGAACTGTTGAGTCAGTCAAGCTTGAGCTCTAGTCAAGGTCGATAGATCCCAGCGTTCGATCGCTCGTGATCACTAAGCTAAACTCACTTCTTCTCTCCCTTTGCAGTCCAAACTCCAAAAATATGGGCCACCTAATCGTATAGGGACACCGTCAGTCCATCCAGTTCACCGCTCGCCCCATCGATGAGTTTAGAGAGAGATGATCGTGTTTAGTGTTAAAATGTGATAATTTAAGAGATCATTGAGAAGTGTTATTTATGAAATGAGTAAAAGCAATATCATCAGGAATGAAAGTAAAGTGAAAGAAAGTCATTCTCTTGATTTTCATATCATTTTTAATTGCAGCAATATTTTTTTTTCATCATATCTCTCCTCCCATCCCTTTTCCCACACACTTTCTCACTCCTTTGATCGCGATCTTCTTGACTTCTTCAACTATGCATTTATACAATTCTTTGCCTCGCAAATCAATCTGTACAGTTTCTTCTACCTTTTCTACAATTATGTCCCTTGTTTTCATGTTTTGTGATCGCAAAAGTATCGCATGTGATCTCTTCTCCCGAACGATCGCGATCGCTCTCTGTCCCAGAGGAAGAGGTTTGTATAATTTAGCCAATATATCCTCTCGAAAAACCACTAAAAAGTCCTCAAAAGAGAGATGCAGAGAACAGAGAGCGATCCTCAATGTCCGTGAGAAGTCAAGTGGGAGTCATTCAATCTCAATCTTAACCATGATCTCTCCTTAAAAAGAAATTTATTTGCGTTCCTACTAAACTTACTCAGTAATTAATAATTGTAAATTGTAAAATAATGAAAGTACTTAGTGTCCTTTTTCACTTTCACCCCCACTTTTATAGTCTCTTTTCGCACTCTAACTGTGGATTTTTTACTTTCTCATTTTTAAATACAATTTCTAAGTAATCCTCCCTAGTGAAGATCACTCATTTAAATATTTCTTTATGTGTCCTAGTTAATTGTTAAATATTTCTTGCAGTTATTTCTACATTTTATATTTATTCTTTCTCACTTTCTCTAATGATTTTCTTTTTAAATAAAATCTTTTAGTATAATTGTAAATTTTGGAGAAAGAAAACATAGATTGAAGTACAAAGTTGGTATTTTAAAACAGACACAAAAACTTGTTAAGATTTGTTTTCCTTTACGAATTAAAAACAAAAATAATAAAAATTCAGAAAACTTTACAAGAAGTACTTTTTAGCGCCAAATCTCCTTAACTTCGCAACTATCTACAAAAATATTCTTCAAATTTCCCTCTCTTCTCCCGCCGTTGCTTCTATCTTGCAATTTAGTGTCCTTCTTTCCTTCTCTTTTCCCTTTTTTGTACTTTTAAGCATTATTTTTTTTAAATTTCACTAGGTTTCTGGTTTTTTTTCATCAATTCTTCTTCTGGAAAATCTTTAACATGTTTAATTCTTGAGTTTAGCTTGTTTTTCTTTTGTCTATCAACAAGAAGCATTGCTTTGCTGGTCAGGATTTGACATCCTCTTATGTGTATTCTGTGCTGCGTGAATATGGCACAATATATCTTTTTTTACTCTGTTGATAAAGGGTAATTTTAATGTTTTTTTTCTTCTACTTTTAATATATTTGCGTTTAGTTCTTATGACATGCTTTATACAAAAGAGTTGCTCAAAGTGTCCTTCAAAAGCATAAGAATCTATTCAGAGTGATCATTTTTGGGCTTTCTGAATTAATGTACACGATCATGATCAACTCGAATGACTCTGATTTGGTGGAAAGTCAAAGAATTATAGAATTTTTCTCATCCATTCTTACTCTCCCGCTATTAATATAGTAAATTCATCAATTTCTCTGCACTCCGTAAATATAAAGAGTTCTTTATGTGTGTAAAATATACATGAAAAGGACAATGTGTTATTCTAATCATCATTCGCATATCTCTTGTTTTTTTTCTCTTTATCATCAAATATATATCACATCCTTTTATTGGATTTTCCTCCTCACTTGCTATCTTTACAATTGTAGGGAAAGGATAAAGAAAATTACTTGATATCAACATCAATTTGGTGACTCTTTTTCTCTCACATTCACTTCCACAATCGAGGGTGGAAAATCGTTGTGTATAAGCAGCATTGGAATTGCAACACTTTCTGCCAATGCTTGGATTAAGAAAGTAACGGAAAAAACACTGATAGGGACTTTTTCTTCAGACGAACAGCAAATTTGTGACGACGACAAGCGACTAAGGCACTAACAAATGTGGCCTTTATTTTTCATAATATTCAGTTATAAAAAATCAAACTTTTGTCGTGAATCTTACAATAAAAAGTCAGCATAAATAAATAACTTTAAGTCTTGCTCTAGGCCAATGTCGTCGTTCAGTGTCTCCCTGTTTCCTGTCCAGTGCGTCCAACCCTCGATGCTGACACATTGTCAAAGAAATTGTGAAGACTTTACTCACTCACCATGGCGACTTCCCTTGTGATACTCGTGTTGATCATGTTCTGGCCAGCAGACTCCTCTGACAGACTCCGCGTGGGCGAATCACTGCACTTTACCATGCACTCGTCAGCTTCAATGCGCGGCGATTCGTCCTTTGGCTCCTCCGCCGACCCTACAGACACCTGATCGGGCTCATTGTCCTCCTGCGCCTCCGTTGCCTCCACCACAGGCTCCACAGACTCCACATTCACCACAATCTCCTCCTCCTCGGCAATGTTGTCAATACTCCTCGATCCGGAAGCACTGTTGGACTCACGACTGCTTCCCGTGGACGCTCGCCTGGCGAGATCTGTCGCCCTCACGGACTGCTCAGTGCCGCCAATTCCCTCGCCGCATGGACGCAACACCAAGTACAGCAGAATGTCCGATAAGGAGATGATGCCGATGACTTTGTCATTCTCATCGACAACGACTAGACGATGGACTTCTGCTCTCACAATCCTCTCCATTATCGTGTACAGCGACTCATCCAGATGACACTTCTGCACGCCCTCAAACCACGCATTTCTGTGCTCATTTGCCTTCTTCAACGACACGTCCAGGTCATTGTACGTCTTCTCTGCCGCTAAATTCTGCAAGACAGTCACAGAAAAAACCCATTAACATCCCGCCCGGAAAATAAATCGCTTTGTTACTCACAATGACATCGAACTTTGCATAAATATCGACTAGACGACCCTTAACATCCACCAGCGGAAGGGCAGACACTCTCCTCTCCACAAATTTGTGCAGAGCCATGATGATGCTGGTTTCCTCTGTGGCTGTCTCTATGTTGTCATAGGATCCAATTCTCAGGTCACGCAGTGTCTTTTGCATATACGATGGTTTTGGTAATTCATTAATCTGCAATGCAGAGAAAGTCGTAAGAAAAACACACAAGCTTGCGTGCATGCAACAGATACTTACGTAAAGGAAGAGGAACCTCAAAATACGTTTGTGAGTTAAGATGTAGAGAACATTGCCTGTTAGTGGATCAATCACTGGTAACCGATGAATTCTATTGTGAATAAGTGTCTTAATAGCGTCAAAAAGTGAGGCATCCGGACCGATGCTGACTAAAGGAACCACTTGGTGCTTGAGGACATCTGCAAATACACAATCAATCTATCAGACTCACGACAATAGTGGATTTTTGTGTAATCTCATAATTACCACGCCATGTATCCAACTTGTGCTCCTCCAACTGATCCATGGAGCAATTTGGAGATGTGTAGTACATTTGGAGGATCTTTATGAAGTCTGTTATCGTGAGCATTCCCACAAATTGTTGCTTATCCGAATCCCAAAGTGGAGCTGCTCGAACTCCTGCGAGAAACACACATAGCAAAAACACAGCATTAGAATTCTGCCATCGTTAACTGTCAATCAATCTTCTCACCATTGTAAACTAAAGCGTAGAAAGCTTTCTTCACCAGCAATTGAGTATCGAAAACCACCAATTTGGCTGAAGTTGGTATCAGATCATAGCACTTGTGGAATCGGAAGAATTTCACAAAGATCTGCGATTCATCCTCCTCTGCAAAAGACAAGACATTTAGCCAATACATTCATAATGGAAACATTGGAGTCGTAGCATCACATGTGAGAATTTTTATCTATCACCTTTTTTTAGTAACTCTGTCAAGCATTTTTTCCACGCTTCGGAGATTTGTTCAAACTCTTTGATACTCTCAACCGGATAAATATCAACAGACCACCAATCTCGCGCTCCGCCACCCAAAACCAGACGCCCAGCGTAGTCTGAGTAGAAGTGCAACTGCAGCATCTGTGCACCGAATCTCCCACTTTGCAGATGCATTTAAAGATCTCATCAGAGAGCGCACAAAATTCACTCAAAACTTCCCCGTCACATTGGCATCAACATGCCAAAACCAGCCGCAATCACAGATGGTTTCGCTCGAATCAATTCCACCGCATGCAATCCTTCACCTTGGCTTCACTCATGAGTAGGAAAGGCGGTCTTCTGTGAAAATCCCTCTCCTCACCTGGCAAGAGGACGAGGAAGGAAATTCACCAGAGCGTCACCGCATTATTAACAGAACGTCTGGCAAAGCATTCTACACGCTGTCTAATGAGACTTTTCGTCTTTCTTGTTAGATGAATTAAATGACATGGGATGAAAAACACCTGCTAAGCCATAAACATGTCATATCAGATTAATATTTCCCCCGCCCACGAGCTTTTCTTTAAATATTTCAAGTGAGAATTACACTCATTGTTGAGTGTTGTAAGTTATTCGAAGTATTCTCAAATAGTTACATTTTACCCAAATAAACCATCAGCTCTCCACGTGCAACCTCAACCAGACAGACTTGTTCGGAGTCATCAATTCATTTTAACTCCTCCCCAGCAATTTTCTTAATTCAATCAATCTATCGTGAATAAATTACAGCAACTTTATTAATAGACAAGAGTGCATTTCTTGCATTGCCACTTCGCCATCCCTATAATTTCAATATACCCAATTGTTTTCCACTTAGAAAAATCCACTAAAACTCTGCATCGAAGGCCATCATAGGCATCAATCAACGCCTCAAATTGTCGTTCAGCGACAGGTAGAAAGAAGTTGCTAATTATTTAAGAAATAAATGGCACCTAATTAATTTTGCCCGTGAAATTTACCCTCACTCGCCGTGTCTCACACTCGCGTAAGTGTGGTTAAAAGACGTGCGACTGTATGCCTTGTATAAAAGGCAACAAGTTCAGATCGACCTAGAAGTTGGTCAAGGTTTTATTGAAAATCACTCTCTTTGCAATATCACAACTGTTTAGCAATTGTTCATCGAGAAATTGCAAATGAAACATTCTTGCAACTGCGGTTGATGAACTTTCCTTCCCAGAGGAATTTTTATCCTTCTGCTTATGGAAAAATAAACCCAAGATGTGAAATTCGCCTCTTTGGCCACCAGAAAACATAAACAAACCGTGACAGCATAAATAATCACTCTCAATATCACAGATTTTCGCTACTTCTTCTCACAATTTCCACCCCCCAAACCAAAGAACCACTCTTTAGCCCTCGAAATCAATGCAAATCGAACACTCGACGCGTTTGGCGAAAACTAAAGTTATAATTTGCCTGTGAGGAAGGCTAAAGCATTGGCAATGAGATGATCTTTGTATGTTTTTCAACTGCCACAGTTCTGCTTTTTTCACCACCTCCGAAATGAGCATCGCGGCGCGCCGAAATTAAAAATAGCACTTCGCCACACGTTCTTCTTCCCCATTTCTCCCCGTCGCAGAATCTTTCCTCAAACACACACCATTTTAATCATATTCCTCTCCTTCAAACTCCGCAATAATACCGCCTTTTTTCCATCTCACTCGTGATTCCCATCGTTTGGTGCGTGTCATTTTCCGCTTTTCATCCGCCGAACATCTCTCACAAAAATGCACCGCGGAACTCCTCTAGCATGTCACCTTCTAGATAACTTCTTGTAGGTGGCATATTTTTGTGCGAATAATGCGCAGATATCACAGTCAAGGAGAATCATATCACATCCTTAGACATTTCAATGAAAATTCTCACACATCCAAAATACAGAATCATACCAAAACTCACCTAAATCAGATAGATTGACTTTCTCCAGAAATGGATCTGCCACTGGTAGCTGAAAAGAACAGACATGAGATGAGAATAAGGAATTTCAGCCTGTGCTACGCAGCCAACACCACCCAAAATAAATCACCCAAACATTCAATTATCTTCTCCCTACATCAAATGGTGGTGGGTAATTAAAATAAATTCGTCTTTTATGCAAATTCTTCACCTTGAAGCCACAAAAGAGATTTGTATTGAAATCTGTTTTTTTTCGCTCTCCACCTTATTTGTATTTATATTTTTTGTGTGTTATCATAAAACTCCACGACAATAAAATATTGCGTTCTGAACGAGGGCGAGAGACAAGCGAAAAATAACTCGCGCTTTCCATCACAAAAACATATCAATAGCCACAAGCTGAGACAATTCAGCTGAGGAATTCTGTAAATTGAATCTCGCACCAGAAAATCACATGGTTGGCATGAAATTCCTATTGCGGCCTTTAACGTCTTTATGGCATTTCCATTGCACCACATAAATTAAGTATTCTCAGATGATTTTGCATGTTTATGCACGAAGAAGAATCCATAATCACTTCTCTGGCGCAATTCTCCACTTGTGGCTATTCAGTTTTCTTTATTTCAAATTCAAGACAAAATATGTTATCATGTTTTTCTCAAAACGATTAAAAGATATCACCGAGAGAGGGAGAGAAAAACGCAAAGTGAATAATTGTGATAGTGATGATTAATCACTATTAATTTCCATTTGGCACACGACAGTCTTCCCCGATTCAGTACACACAAATTATGGCGCAGTGTTTTAGAAAATCGACACAAACATTAACAGATGTGTTGCCAGGAAATTCTTCAAATTCATCATTTCAACAACATTTCCCACAAGTGCCGAGGAAAATATATTTCACCAAATCATCCAATCGCCCTCTGATATTGCCACAAATTTTGTCTAATTGCCGTATCGGCCGTTATGCAATAAATCACTGAGAATCAGAGATAATTAATATCAGAGATACTCGAGCGAAGAGCCAATGGGAAGGGAAGTGTTTACATGGTTTCCCCGATGATCGCGATACGAGGAGGATCTCCGGAGGACGCTCTTCCGCAGCGACTGCCCGATGCGGGCGTACCAAGTGGGCGCCTGCGAGAGTACAGTTGAAGTGTGCTGGGAAATGACTGGCGCCACTGAAATTGCCGGAGGATTGGGAGTTGAGACAGATCTCATCGCTCGATATTGAATTGCAGCCATTCGCTGTGGTGCAACTGACACAGTGGCCGATGGCGGAGTCGAATCCAGCATTGAGAGACGTCGAAACATCATTTAACATTATTTCCCGCGCCTCTGCTTGTGACTTAAATTCTACACTTCACACTCGCGCTTCTCTCCTCAAATATTTGCCCAAGATTCCACCACCTTCCTCCCTCCGGATCGCGATAAGTCCACCCAGAGAAAACGTATATCGCGTGTCAATTGCTTAGGCAAATACCACCATCGGTGTGAATGCAAACAAGATAGAACTCGGGATTGGAGAAGAGACACTGGCTTAAGAAAATTCAGAAAACTTATCGCCAGAAGCACTCTTCTTTTACCACAAAAATCACCACAATCGAGAGAGTCATATGCAAACTAACACAATTCTAGTGAACAGTCATTAAATTCTCGCTACAAATACTATACTCTACAGAGTATACAAGAGTTGTGTGTGACTTAATCTCTGAACCTGACGATATTTTCCAGGGACAAATCCGAACGTGCTTTTTGGAGAACGACTCGCGATCAACTGGATTTGCGCGAAAAAGTGTTTCTTTACAGGCGCGAACAAACCACTCAAATTCAACTCTCTCGCGCCTTCGCGTCGCACCAATAAAGTCATATAAATTTCCATTACACTCGCGCGAGAGCTTTTATTGTCTGTGGTCGTTAGAAAAATACACATAATTTATGCGATTTGCGCACATACAGCGCGATTATTGAGTGGCTGTTATACCAAAAATACACAGCACAGTGAGCTTTTACACTTCTTCTGCCCACTTTGTCCCCACAGCTTCACTATGATAAAATACGCGCAACTGACCTCTTCTTGACCCGCGCCAACATCTGAATTACAATATGAGAGCACAAGCGCATCTGTCACAGGTCAAGAAGCTGGGGATCAAGTTTTAGTCAAATAAGTTCATTAGACCTCCATTTCTGCTCATCAATCACCGCCAGAGAGTGACAATTTTCAGGAAAATCGAATTGCTGAGTGTGAATAAACCCATCGAGTGCGTGGGTGTTGATTCCCCATCATAAATTCAGTATAAATTCAACTCAATTGTCCGCCATGAGACAAGTTGACACTAAATAATTCTTTCTCCTCCCCATTTTCTGCTGCACGAACAATTCTCTCTTCTAAATATAAACAAAACGCTGTACAGCAGTGCGCGATGATCATGATTTCCCTATTAAGGAGTTGCCTATCTGTTAATATTCACCAATTTGCATATTCATATGAAAATGACAAAAGAGTCAGAGAGACTCTTTCGAAGAGAATATTTAAACACAAGTCAAGAATTTTCCATATCAGGCCCAATGTTTGCACAGTGTAAAACTCATGGAGCTCAAGAATTCATCAAATAATCAACCAACACACATTTCTCAACATTAAATCGCGCTAATTGAAAGTCTCATGAAGTCCACCACTGTATTTTCGGCGCGTGAATTATTTCTATTTCTGGCAATTGTTGGGGAAATTTGCAAAAATTCTCAGGAAAATATCAGATATGCTTTTTTTCAACTACATCCATTTTGCACAGAATTAGCGCCTCATTGTGAAGACAAATTATATCATTTGCAAGAGTGCAAACAATGACGAATATAGCATCACACCAAAATGTGTTTTTCTTCAACGGCAATAACACAAAGTCATTTAACGACACCGAGACCCGGCTTCAATTGATATACAAATAGATAAATCATCGCTTTTATTAGCATTTGCGCTATTAAAATTTACATTTAATTTGCTAGACATAGAGTAAAAGTTCACGCAAAATGGACATAAAATATTGTTTTCTACATCCAAATGATTCCGCCTCGCATATTTAATGTCCATTCCCAAAACCCCGACAATTGATGTCATTGTCTGATCCATGAATTGTTACCGAATCATTATTTCTGGTGTCCAGAAAACCGAGGTGATTAAATAGTTTCTCGAGAGAAGGTAGAATTTATAGCGGATATGAGTGAATTAGCTAATGATTACTTTCCAATTCCCAGATGAAAGATAGTGCAAATGCTGATATATCCAACCAAATATCTCCCAATTGTACTTAAACACGAGAAATGTGAAAATAACTTACGCCTCTTGAATCCCGAAAGAGAATTGCAGCGTGATAAGGATCCAATGTTCCATCAGCTCGCAATCCACGACTAGTGCCCAGAGATGCTCTTCTTCTGTTCTCCAACTCGGCCGAGGCTCTTCGCATGTGAGCACCTGAGAAAGCAAAGAGAATCGCAATTAAACCAGTGACAAGACGTCTTCCCAAGCATTCCTTAAGGCTAAGCAACAACTTCCAAGTTTATCATCGTCATATCATCATGATACGCGTCAATTTGCCTTGGCCTAACAACCTTCTTTCACGATTCTATCGAAGATTTTGTATGTAGCGCCACAGTCATTCAGCACCCGATGCGGAATGCTCACGTCCAGACTCTTGCTGCGCTCCCGGAAGTGATCTTGTGGATCATTGGCACTGTTCAGAGAGACATTCGCGTGCGGTGAGTGATCCTGACTCTTGCCGCGCTGCCACACGCGCTTTCCAAACTGCTTCAGCATTTCCTGAATAGAGTGATGATGAGAGCGCGTCTTGTCTTTAATCGGTGGAGATGAGGAATCATTCAAGCTCCTGATGAAGCTTGAATTGTCGAATTTGCTCTTGTACTTTAGTCCATTTGCACTGTATTCATCTAGCGAATGAGCAGCGTGTGTCCTAAAGATGCTATTCCTATCCTTATCCGATGTGATTTGAATTTTATCATTGTCCTGGAATGTGCCCGTGTGCGTGAAGTACTGATGGTCCGTCTTGTACTCGTAGATGTCATCCAGATCGTGCGGGAAAAATCCACCACCACCATTCACAACTGGTGACCCGTACGTGTCGAGCGAGCCGCGCCGGTAGTTCTGCGGAGAAAAGAGAGGTCAATGAGTGGGTCATGTAATGAGGTCACACAGTTTAAACCGTCACATAGAGAGAATGTGTACATTAGCAGCATTTACCGACTAATCTTCTAATTAGAATCTCTAAAATGGAAAAGTGCAAACCCTGAAATACACTTTATCACTCACTAATCTGGCAAATTCAGGGTCGTATATCATATGCTGCAGTCTTTCTCTCTTACATAACGTCCCCACAATTGCGGAAATAATTGCATCTCTCACCTGATAGTTGGGACTCGGACTGCATCTTCGCGGCGTGGACGACATTCGACGCTCTCTGTAGCTGCTGTAGGCGTCAAACGGACTCCGCCCCAAAACACCCGGACTTTTCTGCTTGTCCGGAGATTGTGGGCTCCAGCGTCGAGTGGGCAGCGTCTGGCCAGGGGACTTCTTCGCCTCTGGCACGGGCTGTGGACTCGACGATAGCTGCTCGAGAATGATATCTGTGGAAAAGTTACATAAGCCTCGTGGAAAGCACCAGAGAGAGAGCCAACTCACCTTGCGGAAAGTCTCCCGCCGTGGACGACCCACCACTGGAGTCTCCACTTATTGTTCTGCTCGTGGATCTCGAGTTATTGTAGTGGTTGTAGTGTTGCTGCAAGTGCGCCTGACTCGACAGTGCACTCTGGGCGTTATGCCAATTTTCCGTGCTATTCTGCTTATCCAATGCATGCTGCCGAAATAAATGCTGTATTCCGTGCATTTTCCCCTTCACACTCACTATTATATTTCACAAACACTATTTTCTCCTCCAGTCTTTCACTGTCTATCAATCCTAGATAAGAGAAATATTCCTCAGAGACTCAAGAACACCCTCACGTGTTGGGATTACTTTCCAATTTGGTGATTTTCTTGTCATGAGTTTCATGATATATGGAAAGATGAAATACACCATTCTACGAATTGGATGGCATTAGAGATTCATGAGAGATTCTTGTTTGTCAATAACTCGAGTTGCCTCATTTCTCTCTTCTCCAATCTTCCTGCCAATTTCAAGGGTATCTTCAAGCCCATTGAATTCTTCCATCTGCCAGAGATCCCAACAAAGATGTAGAAAAAAAAATATCTTCATTATATGACTGGATTTTGTTACCCGAGGGAATCTCTTTTTGCGCCCAAAAATCTAGAAAACGCACGCGCAAATTCTCACACTTTCTCCCCTCATTTAGAATGAAGTGGAGTAGAAAACCAACCACTAATGGTACTTCAGAAACACACCCTCCTCAACACAAGCACATCACTGCGAAATTGTGACCTCTCCAAATGTGAATGATGTTGTACGAGTGAGGAATCTCTTTCTAGTCGAAAAAATCAATCCACTACGCCTCAAATAACCGACAAAAATTGCCAAAATTAGTCTTGGCACGAGGAGAGAATTTAGATTGTCTATAAATATCTAAGAGATTTTTATGACTCTATAGAGATAGATTATTTTGGAATATACAAGTCTCCATGCGGATAAACTCATCAATTAATCTTCCCATGCCGAGCTTGAAAGTGTGAGTGAATTGTCCAAGAAACCCCTTGAAATCATGTATGTTACATAAGAGAAAAGCCATTGAGCAGATGAGAAGGCAACACACCAGGAACTCAACTGATCGCCCCCAAAACAGACACTTTCATTTATGAAGCCAACAGCAACAACCAATTTGGCGTCAACCTTCTCGCAGGTACGCAGTTTTTTAACATTTCCCCCACTTCTCGGCGTGTTGTTTTACCTGTGTCAAGGTCACACAGTCGCCGATTCACGCGCTTTTCGGGCAGCGTGTGCTGGATTATAGTTAGAGTCTCTTCGCGGCATGACAGAGAAAGAAGCTGAGCATCTCATGCGCGCAAATACAGCGCGGGGAATGCTAAATACCATGTGCAAAATTGATAAGGTGATGACAACAAATCCAGACTATACGCGATGCATTCACACTGACCCACATTTCAAAGCACACCACAGAATTTCATAAATCTCAGACGAAATACCAAACCCAATGTCATTTGTAAACCGCAAAAATATATCGCCAACAATTCCGCGTAAAATCCCAACTAGAGGGGTTTTTCAGGATAGAGAACTTCGCCACGCGAGAATTTGATAGCGACTGAAGTGAACCTGCGCGCCCTTCCCGCCAAAAACCCTCTCATTCATGCTCTCGTACCACAAATTCAACAACACGCAGTTCCCTCCACTCACACAGTCTCTCGTCCCTGGGCCGTGTCAAGAGGATATGACTCTCACTCAGGCCCACCCACAACACACTGCTCAGCACACTTTCTTCACGACCATGTGCCCACAGAGTGGTTTTCATTGTCAATCTCGCAGACAGAATATTTGCCCAACGACATGCAAATTCATGGTCAAGTTCTTCGTCTCATGTGTCGCTCTCGTCTTGAGACGGGAAAAATGTCAAGCTAATTTATTAATAGCAAATTTACTGGTTATACCGAGATAAGACATTGACAGTCTTGACTTTTATCACTTTCTCTCGTACATAGACTCTATTCAAGCCATTATTAAGTTGTTGCCTGAAAGCGCGTAGTAAGAGTTTTTCACACGTAATTTGGCAAAATCTAGAGGAGATGATAAGAAGTTGTTTGAAATACAACTCCTCACTTCAGTGACGAGTTTTGCAATCTCTTAATTATCGTTAATTTTAATGGAAATTATGAGAACAAAGTGAACAATTGGAATTTCATCAAAATTCTTATAAGCTTTCGATAGAAATCTTTCAATTTTATTACTATAACACATCCTGTCACAAAAAGTTCTTATTTACAAGATTATGTACTTCAATCTTTCTCTGACGTCATTAGAATTTTAATATGTATTTTACACTATTTTTAGTTCATGAAGTCAGTCCATATTCTGGATATGATTTAAGAAGCGGTAAATCCTTTACGACGATAATCTTCTAAGCGAGTCATATACTTGTTATTAGAATTGTTCAATTCATTCTCTTTTACACTCAAATGGAGTTTAACACAATAGACGTTCTCTCAGAATCAAAGAAATCATAGAATTTGAGCATTTTAGCACGTAATTTTGACACGAGTCCAAAGGAAAGTAGATAAATAGTGGTAAAAACATCAAACAAACATATTGGATAAGCTTAATTACATTGATGATGGCAAATTGATACCACATATCACACGAATTCTAATTTCCCCTCCGTGAAATCGATGTTTTCCCATATTGCCTGAGGAGATTAATTGGCAAATTTCCTCATTAATCCTGAGGATGACCACAAAATTACTTTATACGATATTTGATGAGCGTGATTGGGAGTACATCGCATTAACTCTGCCAATATTCTGACCATGAAACTGCGTGAAAGCCACCTTTCCATCATCATCAAGTCACTACCTCTGACATTTTCACCCTTCACATGAATTTATTATTGACTTGTAAATGTCACTCTCCCAGCAATTTGACTTTTGCCTCGGCACAATAACGACTGATTTCCTGCAATTTTCCCATCCAGGAAAGCCCTACAAATCAATGCTTCGCATTTGCCGTGAACACTGGAGGAATTTAAAGAATTCCTCCTAGGCTTCTTTATCTCAAACTCCACGTTGAAGGGAAAAAAAATCAAGCACAACATTGTGAGATTGAGGATGAAGGAAAAAAAGCGCTATGACGCTCTTTCCACAGATAATGACTCCGCCGCCCTTTCAGATAACCCACAAAGTGGCGGCAAAACAGTTGGGAATTCACCAGCAAAAAAGAGTCTCAACCGGAGCTCGAGATTCCCTCTGTTCCCTGTCACAACATACTCCACATGGCCATTTTTCCAGATAATTTGCGAGAAAAAAAATCAATTCTGTTTTGCATTCATACGACGCACTTTATGTGCAATTGCTCACATTATATTGAATTCCCCCACGAATCATTAGACAGCGCACACGAAGTGCGCCCCTTTCCTCGCACATAAACATCAATAATAAACAACCACCACTTGCATTTTCACTGCACGTAATGGCAAAAGAAGGGACAGGAAAGAAATAAATTGTGAAAAAGCGCCTCACCAATATTTTATTTGCTGTGAAAACCACACACATCACTATGTGCTATTATTACTTTGTTTACTATATTAAAATAGTCGCAAAACACCTCAGAGAGTGAGGCACGAAGGAGCCAACCACACCTCACAATACACTCTTGAGTACTTTATTTACACTCCTGTCCACCTCTACCTCAATATGTCTTGTCCGCCAGTCCTGATAAAAGCGAGAAAATGCGCGATATCCGCGGAAAGGGAGCCCCAGCGTGTCCGCAGAGGACATTTCAA